AATAATGGATTTTTTAAAAAGTGATTATTATTTTGGAAGCTTTGTTATAGGTGGCATCTTAGTTAGCATGCTTCTAGGACAACACCCATGGTCTGAATTCAGGAAGATCTAAGTACCGGTCCTCTCTTTACATCAGCCTCTTTATGTTTAAATAAAATAGTGAATATAAAATATTTATATGGTCATTTAGCAGTGGCAGTTCACTTTTTCTTCCCTGACCTCTATACAATTATTGATCCAGTAAAGAAACATCAGCAATGTCAGGTTATTATAAGGACTGGAGTAATATCAAATAGACATCTGACATGTGCTACCGACAGTACAGAGGTAAAGCATCAGAGCTGACGAAAAGTTCACATGTTGAAGGACCCCATTCAAAGTTCGAAGACTGTGAAAAAGCTGTCGGCAGTATTCAGATTCTGTATCTGCTCTGATTGGAGGTTTGTGTAGGTATACCCAGCAGCCTGCCGTCTATCCAGCAGTCTAATCTTCATAATTATAACTTCCCTGTAAAAGGCAATCCTCTCAGAGAATTTTTAGATCACACAGTGCATTTTAGAACTTCTTCCCTCCAAATGCAAAATCCTACCCTGGCACAGCCCAGGAGCAGCTTTTCAGATGAAGCTCATGGGAATGTTTGTATTGCTGTGTCTCTATTTCTTGATTCTTGGAAATGTCCCACAAATGCGATCAAAATTGCTACCCTGATTTGCGCCAACTTCCATTTGCCTCTTTGCTTCGTGCTCATTTACTGCACCCACATTGTTCCAGCAGATGCTTTTCAGGCCTCTTCCTGCTTGGCTGGGGTTGGCCCTGCGCTGGGCCTTTTATACATCACAGGAATGTGTGCTGAGCATCTGTGGCAAGCATCTGCTGGAATAAGACCGACACAACCTTGAACTCAAGCCCTAGTTCAGGAGACAGCTAAGACAGAACTGGAATTCAGAACCATAAGGTCCTCAGAAGCAAGTCCAGGCACTAGAGCCACCAGAGGGGGACCCCTAACTTTCTGAAGGTCGGGGAAGGCTTCTCTGAAGCAGTGATGTTGTTGTTATGTGCCATCAAGTTGGCTGCAACTCATATACTGACCTGGTGAAGAACAGATCTGAATCCTGCTCTATCCCGTGTCATCCTCATCATCTCCAATATACCTGAGTCCTGAGTTATAGTCACCATGTGAACCTTCCACTTTTCCAAGCATAATGTCCTTCTCCAAGGACTGGTCCCTCCTAACAGCATGCCCAAAATATGTGAGGTTTCACTATCCATGCCTTCAAAGAAGACTCTGGTTTCACTTTCTCCAAAACATATCTGTTTGTTCTATTGGCAGTCCATGGGATAGTCAGTACTCTTCTCCAGGACCACAGCCTGAAAGCATCACTTCTTCTGTCATCCTTAGTCATTATCTATCTTTCAGATGCATAGGAAGTAATAAAAAGAGGCCATGGCTTGGGTCAGGTGCACCTTAGTTGTTAAACAGACATCATTGCTCTTTAACACTTTGTAGAAGACCTTGACAGCAGATCCCCCAGTGCAACACATCTTTTGATTTCTTGACTGCTGGTACCAAGGCTGTTAATTGTAGATCAAGAAAGATGAAATTGTTGACAATATCAATCTTTCATCCATCTATCATGATGTTGCCTATTGGCTCAGTGATGTCTATAGTGAGATCTAATGGGCATGTGAGAAATTATCCAGAGAAGATAAGGAAGGCCTTTGAGGCAGAATGTATCAAATAGTTTATATTGTGTGACAAACAACCCAGAACTTCATGGCTTAAGAAATCAACCCTGCCTTACTGTTCATGGCCCTGTGACTCAGCTGGGCACAAATCTGGCCTGCTGGCCTCTTTGGTCTGCTGCTGGTTTGGCTGGGAACTGACTGGTTGCTGGCTCTTGATTGGGCAGCAGGAGTGACTAGCAGGCTAGCCAGGGCTAATTCACATAGCAGTGAACTGGTGTAACATCTTTTCTGCCATATTTTTTGCTCAAAGCAAATCACAAGACCATCCCAAATTGAAGAAGTGTGGGAGGAGCTGCAGTGTCAACATTGCACATGGGCATTGTTATGTAGGAGAGGTGTGAAAACTGAGGCTGGTGGTATGTCAGTCTAGCACTCAGAGCAAACAACAAGAACCAAGCTCAGATACCAGCACAGCCTATTCAGGGCACACAGTATGGCTCAATTGTGGGCTGAAGGAGAAATGAGACTCAGTAAGCCAAGTCGGTGTGTCAAGACTTACACCTGAAGGCAGTGGGGAGCCATGCAGGGTGCTAGGCAGGTGAGATAAAACTTTGAAACACTTTGATGACCACAGCCTCCAACAATCTCTGCTAATGGAGAAAATTCCAAGAATACTACGTAAACGACAAGAAAATTCCAACAATATTACACAAACTACATGGAGAAAAGTGCTCCAGAGACAATTGTTGCTATTACCTTATCATGAATCCTTTCAGACAGACAGACAAACCTACATACACCACACACACACACACACACACACACACACACACACACTCTTCTCAAGAATGGGGAGCATAATCTTGCCGGAGGCAATGATTGTGAAGCTTCTTCTCACTATTGGAGGGACCAGTCCTTGAGAAAGGAAGTCATGCTGGTAAAGATGGAGGGTCAGAGAAAGACCCTCAACAAGAACCCTAACAGGAGGTCCGAGTGTATCAGAGACGGTGAGGTTGGCACAGGTCAAGACAGGGCAAGTTTCAGATCTGGTTGACTCTGTGACATCTACAACAAGAACCACCACCAAACGCATATACACATGCAGCTTTGTTCCTTTTCACTGCTCCACAATATTCTTCTGTGTGGTCAAGCTCCAGTTGACTGATCCATTCTCTTCTTGATGAGCACCGAGGTTGTTTAGTTTCTGCTGTGTGATCAAAACTGCGGTCCCCTCCTTGAACATCCATGCCGGTGTTGCCCCTGGTTTACACTGGAGAGGGCCATGGGTGAGTGCTGTCTTAGACGTTGCCCAGATGCTTTCTGCAATGACTACATTTCCCCTCCCTTGCTGTGGCCCAGACTCCCTTCTTTCTTATTTCCACACATCCCCGAGACTCAATACTGACTGACTGACATGTTCAGCTTTGCTGTGAATGTGAAAGTATCAAAGAGTTGCCTGTGCCTCAGAGCGACCCAGTGAACAGCAGGTCTGAACCCTGCCCCATCCTGCGTGTCCTCACCGTCTCTGATAAGCCCAAGCCCAGTTGCTGCAGTCACTGTGTCAATCCACCCCGCAGAGTGAGGGTCTTCCTCTCTTTCTTTGCTCCCTCCTGCTTTTCCAGCATGATGTCCTTTTCTAAGGACTGGCCCCTCCTGACCAGTACAAGCCCAATACCTAATACATGCTCAAAGTCAATAAATACAACTCAATTTTTGTGTGTGTGGGGGGGGTAATATAATAAAAATAGATATCTTAGAAAGTTACATCCCTACTGGGACAGACTTCCCTCCTTGAAAGGAAATACAGAAGACAGGCCCACCCCATTATTTGTAAGTAGTATCAGCATTCCACAGGAAGGGGGTTACCTCTGCCCCGAGAGATTTCCTTGGAGGTTAACTCCCTTGCCCCTCTCCCCTTCTCAAATAATGCAGCAGCAAACGTCCTTGTAGGCATCTCTCTGCTCTCAGCTGGGCATCTGCAGACAAAGCCCCTCCCACACTGGGCAGAAGTCCCAGTTCACACCCTAACGGGGTGTGTGTGTGTGTGTGAGGATTGGGCTCCCAGTGTTCTTGCCAACGCTCTGTCTTCAATATCTGTCAGTTTCACATGTTCCTCCCTCCCCCTCCCCCTAGTCCACTTTGCAGTGCACCTCTTGTTCCACATTGCTGTCATACATAAAATACCTAAGCATACATTCCTTTCTGAATGTTCTTCCTGTCTTTTGTTCCCATGCAATATTCATTATCTATCCACTCTTTTCCTATTCTCTCTCCAGCTCTCCCATGTCTATTTTATAACAGAGATGTTATGCAGTATTTGTCCTTTTGTGACTGAGATATTTCACTCAGCATAATGTCACCAGGCTCACTCATATTGTGTCATGTTTTACAACTTCATTGTTTTTCCGTGCTGTGTAATATTCCATTGTGTGAATGCACCTCAGTTTTTCTGTCAATTTCTGCCAATTTCAAGGCAAACAGTATTTTGTCATTTCTATTTTAATTTCCTTGAACCTCAGAAAGATGGAGTATATTTTCTTGTTTTAATTGGCCTTTCTGATGTACTAATTATTGTATTCTTTGCCCCGGTTCTAATTGTTGTATTCTTTGCGCCGGTTCCCAAGGGACAGTGTCCTTACTTATGAAGGCTTTTAATAAGCAACTGTATTTCAAAGTGACTCTTTTATCCCTTGGAAAGTTTTTTCTTAAACAGAGCAGGAGGAAAACTGGGTTCTGGGAACATCACTGACCGCAGGAAAATCTCTTGGCCTAGTAAACTATTCCCAACTGTTTTGTTTTTTTTTTTTTTAAACTGGGGCCAGCAGTAGCCTGGGGACAGGAGCAAACACTAGGGTAGACTTCGACCCACTCAGTGGGCTCAGAGGGCCTCAGTGGCCAGCTTGACAACTCAGGTGCCTCCAATTCTACCATCACTCTCACTAGCTGAAGGCCTAAGAGGGACAGGATCTTAGAATAGTTCAGAAGAATATTCCAGAAGAGTGGGCCTGAGCCCCTCTCACCCTCAGGGGAGCCCACAGGAGCTCTACTTCTCATAATCAGTCATATTCCACGTACCTGCTGCTCTACAAGTCAGGGCTGAGACCCCGAGAAGCCTAGAACTCTTGTTGCAGTCATCAGCTTACCTGCTTCTGGCCCAATCAGGCTGGTTCAGGGGTGGGCCAAGTGTGGTATGTAAGACAGGGGAGGCAGGCCTGGATCCACTTTCCACAGAGAGGGGAAGCTAGTGTCCTGCTCCAGCCTGTCAGATGGCTTCTGGGAGCTATGCATCCAGTGACACCTTGGAGGCCTCCTCGATGGAGCTGACAGGGTCTGAGAAGCCAGGTAAAGGAATAGGCACCTCCCCACTCCCTTGGAGCCTGTCCTTGGGCTGTCTGGGGCTCTTTCTCTTCTCACCTCCTGCCTCCTCTCCCAGACTAGCTCCTCATTACCCAAAGGGCAGGGCAGGGTGTTGAGTTCAACTGCCCTTGCGGCTTAGCTCACAGGGGAGTAGGGTATAGACCTCTCCAGAGGAAGCCTTTTCCCTGCCAGGGCGGAAGGCTGAGTGGCTGCAGAAGGGTAGTTTATGAAAGGATGGGAGCCAGGAGCATTTGGTTTGAGGGCTGTATTCAGTCAGTTTTCGGGCCGTTTTCAGTCAACAGTGACTCATGGTTTCTCTGGGTGTAGGGCCCTCTTGATTCCCTTCAGTGCTCACAGGCTTCTCATTAGCGGCTGGAGGTCAGGAAATTCTCCGATTAGCCTCACCTGGGGCCAGGCTGGGACATCCTCAGAGCATTAGCAAAGGCTCCAGGTGCTTCTGGGCTGGAGTTGCTCCCTCTGCTTTGGGAACTTCTGGGGGGAAAGTCTAAATCCAAATCCCATTTAGGCCTCAAAAGTGAATGGCAAGGGACACCCAGGCAGAGCGCAGAGCTTGAGTGAACAGAAAGGCCGGGGCCAGCTCATTTAACCTTTCTAATGGCCCTGATGGCCTCTGGCAAGAAGCTGCACTGCAATCCCAGGGTCATGTGGTTCGAGGCCACCAGCAGCTCCACGGGAGAAAGATGGGCAATCTCTTCCCCTGTGATAAACTGCCTCTGAAAATCTGCCAGAGGGTCAACCATGGGATGGTTCCAACTCTACAGTACACAACAGCAATAGCCCTGGGAGCTCTCGTGGCCTCGTGGTAAGACGCTTCACTGCCTCTGAAAACCTGCCGGAGGGTCAGCTCTGAGTCAGTTCTGACTCACAGAAAACAACAACAACTCTTTTTCCTTGGTGATGGAATGAAAGACACATGCATGACTCCCTAGTTCCCAGGTTCTCTTGAAGCTAGGTGTAGCCATGGCACTACTTTCTGACTAAGGACAATAAACTTCTACCTTTGTTCAGTTAAAAAAAAAAGTGAGTGGCAATTTCTTGGAAGATTAAGAAGGATCTTGCTAGTGGAGGGAACAGGGAGCTCTGGTTTAGTGATAAGGAATTGTGCAGTCAATCCAAAGGTGTGTGGTTTGAATCCACCAGCCGCTCCTCAGGAGAAAGATGAATAATCTCCTTCTATTTGATTTACTGCCTCTGAAAACCCACCGGAGGGTACACAAGAACAAGCGAGGGAATGGCCTGGGTGAGAGAACTGGGGGGCCATTTGGGGAGAGGCTTCTTGTAGGTAAGGTCACAGCTGGGGACGCAGTGACCACCAAGTCATGGAGGAGCCACAGAGGGTTTTTAGTGGGGAGAGGTGAGGAATGTGGGCCATGGTGGTAGGGGAATGGTTTTATTGGGAGGGGGAAGAGGCTGGGGGGTCTTGGGGATAGAGAGGGGAGACCCACTGAAGGGTGTGGCGAGGCAGGGGTGCTTGTCTGAATCTGAGTAGAGACAGGTTTTGAGGTGGTGTGGACGCTGTTCTGGACATTCGGGTATGTTGAGCTGACAGAACTCACTTCCATGGAGCCTGCCCATCTCCTGCTGGCCCTCTATTGGGTGCCTGAGGCTGCAGAGGCTTAGAAAGGAGACTGTCCCTCAAGGAACTGCTATTGGATTCAATCTGCTTATCTTTCAGTTAGCAGCCAATGCTATGCCATCAGGGCTCCTTACTCAGGTATACAGCAGGCATTTAATAACTGCTGAGTGAAGGGCTGAATGCAGCTGGAGGAGGGAGGGAGGAGGTAGACCTGAAGGCATGGGGCTAGTTCCAATGTGCAGGGCAGGTGTTAAAGAAGCAGAGAGAGACCAGAGCTGTCACCTGAGGCCAGGCTGGATTACCCCTCAGGAAACCCTATAACCCTCAGCTGAAAGGACTTAGACCTGCTGCAGCCCCTGTCGGCCCTGGACAGAGGTAAGACTGAGGCCCCAAGAAGGGAAAGAAACTCCTCTGGTCCCCAGATTGGCCAACAGATGGATTTAACAAGTCGTCTTTGACCAGAGGGAAGCCTGTCAGACACTAGCTCTTCTTGCCAGCTTGCGGCTGGAGTGGAAGTGAATGTATTTAGGCCTCTTTGCAACCGTTACTCCTTTCAGAGTTTTCAAGGAATTTATTTTCTTTTTTTTAAAAAAAAAATAACATTGTGGTTTTGGTGAAGGTTTACACAGAAGTTCAGGCTCCCATTCAACAGTTTCTACCCACATTCAGGGATATTGGTGTGTTCTTCATGATGAAAGAACATCCTCAGTATTTCCATTCTGATTGTTCCATTTCTACCCATCTGGTTTCCTGGTCTCCTTCCCTTTCTGTTTCATTTGATCTTAACACCGTGTGTGTGTGTGTTAGACAAGTTTAGTATTTACAGGTGATACAGTCGCTGTGAAGCCGAACACTGTGACACTGATGAGTCAAATGAGAGAATGGTTACCCATGGTGGACAGTGTTTGGTGGAGCTCCCCGATTAAAACAAGCTTGGAAGCAGGAGTGCCATCCACTTCCAAAATAGCTTGCCTCTGGAAACCCTATGAACCTGGAGAAAGGAAGAAAGTTATACAGGAGGTGTCCAGGACTTTTATTCAGAGGGTCGCTATGAGTCGCCTACGACTCAACGGCTCTTAACAACACCACTACCACCACCTCTCTGGGAACCAGTCCATTATTTAGCTAAAAGGTGAACCCAAGGGTTAGTTTGATTAATGATTGGTCACATGCATGTCAAAAAGGGTTTTATATATAAAGAAAAATACTGTAATATGAAATGAAATACTGTAATATGAAATGTAACATGAAATGAAGAGCCTGGCATCTGCCTCAGAATCACCCAGTAAATGACGCAAGAGTGGCGTGGACTGTGACAGTCCAGCCATCCCTTTGAAATCTAAATGACCAAGGTTTGAAGAGTGTCTCAGGGTGATAGAGTCCAGTGAGGCTGGTTTTGTTCCACATTTCTTCCCCCTCGTGCTGTCAGAGTCCATCTGTTGTGGCCAAATTAGCTTTCTTTTTCTATCTTCAATTTTTGAAATGATATTTTTAGCATATCACTTTCTTTTGGAGTCTTTAAATCTTGCAAGTTGACTGGTAACCAGCATTTGAGCTTGTAAATCATGAGACTTAAATCACTTCTGTGCCTTTCGCAGTGACTGACAATGTCTTGTACTTTTCCCTTCCCTCCTCAGCCCTCAGAATCCACAGGGAACTGGTTCCATTGGAATCTGGGGGGGAAACTTTTCCTTATGAAAACTTTCAAATGGATCAGGAGAGCATATGGAACATGGAATAGCATGTGCTGGGCACCCAGCGTCCACATGGCTGGACTGTCACAGCTCACAGACACACTTGTTTCAGGTGCTGGGTAATTCTGAGGCAAATTCCAGGCTTATGAGTTCCTGTGTAAATATTTCAACATTTATCTTTAAAAACCTTTCAAAAATTATAGTAATACCATTTAGTACATCTGAAGTAATTAGTATGCCTCTTAACATCATTGAGGAATGTTAAGGGAGCTCTGGTGGCCTAGTGAATAGGGAATTCTGCTGTCAACCCAAAGGCAGGGGTTTCAAATCTACCAGCTGCTCCTCAGGATGGAGATGGGCAATTCCTTTAGTGCGAGTTACAGCCTCTGAAAACCAGCTGGGGGGTTTGAGTTGGTTCTGATTTGACGGCACATAACAAACATACATTACTGAATTCTCTACCTGGCTGCATTTTTTTATGTGTGTAATATTTTTTAATTTCTTTATTGAGATTTTAATGAAAGTTTATCAAGAACTTGGTTTTCCAGTCATTCATTGTTGCACATTTTCCTCCCTGGCCCCCCTCCCTACTCCCAGATCGCTTTTTACCTTTGGGGGAAAAGTTCTCTCATTGTTATACAGTCTCCCCAGACATAAATGATGTACACAGCATTGAAACAGACGAGGGAGATAACTGTATAAAAGCAATATATGATTAGGTATTGTTGGCATGACAAGAGTCCAGAATAATAGAACTGGCTGCATTTTTTTTACTTCTCCTGTTGGTGTTCCAATCCTGCTCTGAGCCTGAGGTCAGGCTGCACCTGGCTGACAAGCACTTGAGGATCCTTCCTCCACTGGCTGCATTTCCTCGTTCTCCTCCTCGTTTATTTGGAGAACAAATTTGTATATCCAGGAATGTCTCAGAAACTTCAGGTTTCTGGAAAATGGTTGGTAAATCTAGATACTCAGTTGATTTTGATATTTTTCCCTTTTTATTAGAATATTTAGCTCTTTAGAAAGGTTCCACAGCCTCATTGTGGGGAGGGGGGTGTACTGGGGGCTGTGGCCCTGTGCCTGGGGAGTGGATGGGCTGGTGGTCATGGCCCTGGCTGGGTGGGCACTGCCCCTTGCCTAGTGCCTTTCTGTCCGGCTGGCACCTGGTTTGTGCCCATCAGGTCTCGCTTCTCCTGGGGCTGATGCATGGTCTGGGGCTCTGGTTAACTCTCCTCCATCCTCCACAGACCCAAACCCCAGAAGGATCCCGGGGCCACGCCGCAACCCCACAGTGCTGCGCATGGTGCTGGAGGCGTTGCAGGCCAGGGAGCAGCGCCAGGGCATCTCGGTGGTGGCCATCAAGCAGTTTATCCTGCTGAAGTACCCAACAGTGAACGCCATCCGCCTCACCTACCTGCTCAGGCAGGCTCTGTCCAAAGGTGTTAACCGGGGCCTCCTCACCCGGCCTCTCAACTCCAAGGCCAGAGGGGCCACCGGCAGCTTCAAAGTAAGTCAGACGAGGGGACCCAGGAGCCCTGAGGACCAGGCCTGGATGTGAGTCTGGCCTCCTCCTGTCTTCCATCCTGGATATATACTGTGCCAGCTTTCTATTCCTCTAGGTCTGTGGGAAGGCTGGAGTGTTTGTCCTGTCTGGGTGACACAGCTTCTGTCCCCTGGGGGTGTCCATGGTCCTCCATGAGATCAGAGTCTTGTCAGCTTCTCTCAATCCACTCACTCTGGAGTCCTGGCACCCACGGTCCCCTGACTTGTAGTCCCCTCAGGGATGAGATAGACCAGGCCTGGCCCCTAGAAGGTCATGGTGGCAGGGTGTTCTCCCTTCTCTCACTGACTCTGAACCCGGGACAAGGGCTGGCTCCTCCCTGAGATACCACTTCTTTCAAATGGGAGCAACTTGGCCTGGTAACAAGGCTCCAAAAGGGTCAGTCTTGCCCAAGGTCACTAGAGTGACGGGCAGCTCTGGGACAGAATTAGACCCCAGTATCGTGCCATCTGCCATCAGGGATCCAGGTCTGTCTTGTTACTGGTGCTCCCTGAGTCCAGTGTCTTGGAGTAGCTGTTGCCATGGAAACTTGTGGACCATTCTAAACCTGCCGTGTGAGCCAGCTCCTGCGGTAACCTTGTGACCAGTTAGAAGAAGCCCTCCCTCATGGTGAGAGTGAGAGCTTGTCTCAAGTCACGGCCAGGATAGATAAGTAGGGCAGGTGAACTTGAGGGTTGTACCCCCAGAGCAGGAGGCTCAGAATGGAGGCTGTCCCTTGCCAGCGTGAGGGGGCCATTCCTCCAACTGAACCCTACCTCATGTCATCTCTCAGTAGCTGCGTGTCTTTGGCATGTGACTCCCCCTCTCCAGGCCTCGGATTCCTCATTATGAGGTCCATAAATAGCTCATCCCATCAAGGAGAGCAAATGGAACAGCCCAGAGCTTGACCCAGGGCAGAATAAGTTAGTCAGAAGGACAAGGGGAATGCAGGAGGGTGGAGGAGATGAGCAGAGAGGAGAGGTGGGCAAATGGCAGGTGCAGTTTGAGGCTGAGGGAGCAGGGGAGTCGTCAGGCAGAGGGAATGGGGCTGAGGATGTCCTGTGTGCAGGTGGACATGGGGAGGGGGTGATATTTCTGATCTTGGAAGGCAATGGTGTGAGGGTGAGAGCGGTATTGTCATTGAAACCCTGCTCTCCAACCTCCTTGTGGAGGTGGGAATAGGCAGGGAGGAGACACTCGATGCTGGGTATAGAGGAGAGGGATGGGAGAAGGGGCTTAGCCTCTGTGGGAAGACCTAGGCATGAGTCAGAGCGTCTCAGAGTCGTGCAGGATGAGTGGCAGGGGGGAAAGGGAGTCAGGATTCACAGTGTTAACACGTTGCTGCAAATGGTAATACATGGGGGCGGAGAAAGTGTTTCTAAGCACGGTCATCAATTTAAAAGTGTGCGGCAACATGTTAAACATTTTCCCTAAAGCCTGGCTTGGAGGTTGTAGACACAGATGTGAGCTGAGTGCACCTCTGCCCTCACCAGGCTGCAGAAGCTGTTGACTGTCTCAGTGTGTGTGTGTAGGGGCACTAGCCTGGGTGTCCACTGCTGTGGGACCTCAGCTGGGCAGGTCACTTCCGAGCCTTCAGTCCCCATCAGCAGATGAGGGCTCAGTCCTTTGAGTCTCAGCTGCATATCATCTCAAGCTGTAGACCACCTTTTGGCAATCCCTTCCCTGGAAAGGGCCCCTTTTCCTGACTCACCCAGGACATTGGGGCATGGGAAGCTTGGGACTTCTGCCCTCAATCCACCTCATTCTTTCCTCCTCCAGTTAGTTTCCAAGGAAAAAAGGACAGCCCAGCACAGAAAGATGGCCACCAGGAAACCCGGCAAAGCCCAGAAGAAGGGTCCCAAGAACCCCAGCAAGGTGAAGAAAGAGCCTCCCGACCCAGGCAAGGTGAAAATGCTGCCCCAGAAGCTGGAGAAGGTGGAGAAGGTTCCTACCAAGTCAGACGCAGCTGAGAAGAAGGCCTCCAACAAAGGCAGGGAGGTCAGCGTCAAGGTGACAAAGCTGGGTGAGCCCAAGAAGGTGAAAGTGAAGGCCCCTCCCAGTGCTGAGGAGCTCAGCGGGAAGTCAGCAGTCAAAGGCGGTGCCAGCAGCAAGGGTGCGTGTGGGAGTGGGATGGTGGTCCCATCCTCCCGGAGGATGGAGGGCAATCACCTCTAGGGAGGAGGGTCCCTTCCCAAGTGAACGTATCTGGGAGGCTCAGCTTGGCATGGAGTGACAGAGACTCATGGTAGCTTGGATCTTGGGTGGGTGGAAAAGGGTGATGGGGAGTGGGGCAGGAACATAAAGGACTGTGAAGAGGGAGGCAGGGACTAGGACACCCCATCCCCCCGATGAGGAACATGAGGCAGGTGTCTGGGGAGGCTTCAGAGAGGAGGTGTCCCAGGCAGGAGAACAGCATGTGAGCAGGCCTGGAGACAGAGAGAGAGTGAGAGGCACTGTTGGGGAGACTGCAGGAAGTTCTCTCTGCAGTGCCAGGAGCAGGAGCTCAAAGGGGAGGCTGGCTGCACAGGACAGGCAGGAAGCTCAACTTTGGTCTGGAGGGGCCAGAGGAACCACAGAAGGTTTATTAGCCTCAGGGACCGAGCACTAGCTGGTCCCATGCCACCCCCTTGATCGCTTGTAGCTGAAACTGGTATGATCTCTAGAATTTCCACTGGCTCTTTTTCAGAAGCTAGGACTTTTCCTCTAGCCAATCTTAGTCTTAGCCTAGTGGGTAAGGAGTTGTGCTGCCAACCCAAAGGTAGGAGGTTCAAATCCACTGGCTGCTCCTCGGCCTCAGGAGAAAGACGAGCAGTCTCCTCCTGTGCGATTTACAGCCTCTGACAACTCGCTGGAGGATGAGTTATGAGTCTGTTCTGGCTTAATGGAAATAAGTAGTAGTGTCTCCGTCTGAAAGCGCTGCTGACGCCTGTTTAGTAACACACAACACTGGCAGATGTGGTGGCTTCAGGGGGCAAGGCGCCCTGGCCAATAGTTGAGCCCCGCTTTCCTGCGTGGAAGTTGAGCATTTCACTGTCCCATAGCAAAGCACTGGAGTCAACTCTGTGTGTCCCGGCAGCCTTGTGCAAACGGACTGGGGCCCTGCTGGAAGTTGGCTGTGAGGGCCAGGGGATGTGCCCCAGGGCTTTGCATGACACAGCCAATGACCATCTAGAATCCATTTTCTCCTCCAGCCCACTTGTGAGGTCAGTACTTTCGCCCCCAGGTGCTGACTAGTGTGTAGGTGCCAGTGAGGCCTGGGACATGTGCAGGGCTCTGGCCTTCCTCTCCTTGCCCCACCAACAGCAATCCTGAACAGAATCCTTTCCCATAGCCCCTCTTCCAGCTGAAACTGAGCGCCCTAGGAAGACAGATGCAGGGAATAAGAGTTCCAAAGCCAAGACCCCCAAGGTAGGTGCTGTGGGGGCACCCTGCTGCATCTGAATACTCCCCACCCCACAGGGCCCAGCTAGGGAAAGAGGCCATTCTTTCCTCCTACACAGCCCAGTCCACCTTCCCTCTTTCCACTCCATATGTCCAGTTGGGGAACTGAGGTTCAGAACAAGGCTTGTGTTTGTGCAGACCCATCAGGGCTGGGGCCAACCCTGCACTGTGGGTTCCAAACTCTGTGCCCACTGCTGCCCTGTTTCTGGTATGCTTTCTCATAGGGCAAGAATGGCACTACTTTCCCTTCAACCAAAGCGACAGCATCTGCATCCAAGGCCCCAAGAAAGGTGGCCTCAGACCCTGGGAAAGAGCCAGAAGCCAAGGACACAGCTCCACCCAAGGACAAGGGCAGCAGTGGGGCCAGGGATGCTCCTGGGTCCCTGGCCAGGAAGCCGGGGGCGCCCCAGAGAAGGCCCGAGCTGCCTGCCAAAGTTTCATCATCTAAGGTGCACCTCAAGAAGGCTAAGCCCGAGAGCTCGAAGCTGGGGTAGAGAGGCCAAGATTCACCTGGAGCTTTTAATTCCTCACAGACCGTCGTCACTTTATGAAATTGCAACCTATTTGTCAATAAATATTTTTTCACTCACAAATTATTGACTGAGATTTGACCATTCTGTCTTTCATAAACATTCACTCAACAAATATTTGGCTGGGTAAGGTTGGAGGCTGGACCCAGATAGGAATGCCCATTCTGGTGGAGACAGATTGTATGGCTGGTGCCTGTGGGATCCCTGGAGAGGCTGTAACCCAACTGTGAGATCTGCGATGGCTTCCAGGAAGAGGCAGCTTTGGATCTTGAAGGATGAGTAGAAGTTGAACAGACAAGAAGGGCATGAGTGGGGCTGGAAGATGTGAGTGTAGGAGTGTGATTTGGAGTTTTGCATGGAGCCTGGAGGTAGAGGGCCTGGTAGGTGGGATGGAATGCCCTAGAAGGGCAATGGGGAGCCAGCAGGTGCTATAGGTCAGGAATGACTGAAGTGTCTGGTAAGGAAGAGCCGGTGGTTGTGGCAATGAGGTGTTGGAGGAATGGAGAGAAGTCAGGGAAATCACTCTGAAGCTTGTCCCTGAGCACCACTGCATACCAGTAGATGGCCTTTCCAGAGCCTGCAGGCTGGAGAAAGAGCCAGGCCTACTGACATGCAGGTGGTGCCTGCCTAGGAAGTGAAATCAAGCAGAAGCAGAGTCTCTATAAAGCCCAGTGGGCCACATTGCTCCAGTCATGAATCAATCCATCTCATCCTGGGTCTTCCTCTTCTGCACTGTCTTCCACCCTTCCAAGCATGATGGCCTTGGCCAACGACTGGTCCTTTCTGGTCATGTGCCCAAAGTGTGTGAGATGGAGCTTCAGAATCCTTGCCCCCAAGAATCAGCCTAGTTTCACCCTCTCTGATCTGTTTGTTCTCCTGGCAGTCTGCTGTTTGTTCAACACTTTTCAAGCACCACAACTCAAAAGCATTGATTCTTCTGTCATCTTCATTGTCTAGCTTTGAGAAGGATAGCAAGTAATTGAGAAGACCATGACAGAATCAGGTGCACCTTGGTCCTCAGACTGACATTGTTGCTCTTCAGAACTCTAGAGAGGTTTCTGCAGCTGATTTTTTCCCAATGCAATTCATCTTTTGATTTCCTGACTGCTGGTACCAAGAGTGTTGATTGTGGAACCAAGCAAACCGAAATTACTAACAGTCTCAATCTCTATCTATCATGAAGCTAAAAATTGGTCCTGTGGAATGGACCATCAACTATTCTTGGGCAAGTTCAAATTGAAGCCAAAATAAGAACAAATCCAAAAACCCCAAACATCGATTTGGGTCAGTCCACCTGAATTAAAAAACCATTTCAAGAACAGGTTTGAGGCCTTGAACACTAATGAATGATGATCAAATGAGCTGTATGTAGGATGATATAAAAAAAAAAAATCCATGAAGAGAGCAAAAGGACATTACAGAGACAGAAGAGGAAGACAAAAGCAAGGGGAAATACATTTCTATCAGAATTGAGAGAGAGCACAGAGACCCCGAAGGGCAAGCCGGCTTGACAGATTCAAGCAGCTAGCTATGAGGAGGCCCACGAAAGCTGGACCCCAGAGAGGGAGGAATCCAGTACTGGGAAATGAGGTGTGGGGTGCTTGGAAACATCTGGGACATGACTGACCAAGATGCAGTGTCTGTGATCCTGCCCCCTGGATCTGGGCCCTGCAACTGCTCAGCCAATAAGAAGACAGTGCAAACACCACTAATCTATGACCCTAGAGACGGGCGACCTCGCCTTCCTGTTTGGGGACACTTGCTCTTGGAAATCAGCCATCACGTCAGGAGGAAGTTCAAGGACCCACCAGAGGGAGGGCTGCAGGGCCCCAGTGTTGTACTTTCTGAATGCCATCGCAAACTTCCAGTCCTGATGGAGCTGCCCCCATTGAAGCCAGGCAGAGCAGAGACCAGCCTTCCTGTCAGGCCCCACTCCAACAGCAGGCCCCTGGTAAATAAAATGATGATTGCTTTACAACACAAGTACTGGTCGTGCAGCAAAGACACTCGGGACAGACTCTGTGAGGTAGACAGACCTTGGAGACCGAGGGCAGAACTTTTGAGTTTTATTTTCTTTGTGATAAGAGGCCTGAAGAAAAAGGCAGCATTACACCAGGGGACAGGAGCAGGAAACGGCCAGGAGTCTGGGGTCATGGAAGAAGTGAATTCTGGAAAGATCTTGGTTGGGGTCAGGGGTAATGGTGGTCAGGGCGGAGGTTATATACTGTTGAGTTGGAACCAACCCATCGTGACCTTCAGAGGCAGAAAAACCACACAGGAGATTTCCCATCTTTCTCCCATGGAGCAGCTGGTAGATTCGAACTGTGTGCCTTCAGGTGGCAGAACAACTCCTTACTACTAAGCCATCAAGAGCTTCCTGCTTGGGAGTGGAAGAGATAGGATTTGCTGATGGATTGTCACCAATGTATGTAAAAGGGCTCTAAGGTGAGCCCACAGTTTGGATCTGAACTCTGCGGGGTGAACCAGTGGCCATGTCTTGAGGTGAGGAAACAGCATGGTCAGTAGACTGCTGAGAGGCGGTCCTGTTGAGGCAGTAGCTGAGCCAGGTGGGGGGGTGAGGAGAGGCAGGGTCCTGGGTGAGGTGCTTGGCTGCCAACTGAGAGACCGGCAGTTCAAATCCAGCAAGACACACCTTGGGGAAAAAAGGCCTGGGAATTTACTCCTCCGCAGACAGTAGTCCCAGAAGATCTCATGGAGGTATGTCTGACTTGGACATACTTGAGTCAGAATTCCCCTGATGGCGACTGGTTGGCGGGGAGGTAAACTGGGGTCACTTGGCAGCAGCTAACGACGACAGATTGGAAGGGACTCGGCAAGGAGGCAGATGAGCTCACAGAGAGGCTGCAGCTGCCAGCATGGTGCCTCAGGCTGCTTCCTTCCGGTCACGGCAACATGGCCACACTCCAGGAGCCCCTCACGGGCTTTATTTTTCTGCACTGACATCTTCCTTGGGTCCCCAGTGCAGCTGCCAGCAGGCCTCCAGGTGGCACAGGCAGGTGTGGGGGGTGCAGGGGCTGAGAGAGTCACTCTCAGGGTAGAGCCTGGGGCGTGACACTGAGAAGATCAAGAAGGCACAGGAGCAGGCGGGTTCGAGTGTGTGTGTGGGCTACAATGTGGCAGAAGGAGGGACCCGGGTGAGTCTGCAGCTGCTTCTCCTCTGGTCAAAGGCGCTGGGGCACATTGCTAAGTGCTCTTCTGCTAACGGAAGAGTGGAGATTCAAGTCTCCCTGGAAAAACCTCACAGGAAAGACCTGGCAACTGACTTGCCAAAACACCAGCCTTAACTGGAAACCCTGTGGAGCCACATTCAGGACACTGTGCTCAAAGTTCCCTCTCTTCTCTAATGCCTGGGCAGAAGGAGGGGAAGGCCTCATCAGCAAGACCAGGATGGTGCATGAGTCACAGAAATCGATCGCCATCTGCACTAAGAAATGCCCCAAGCCCAGAACTCAGCTCCTTGAGCAAATGTGACTCCAAACTTCAAGAAGGAACTGCATGTTAATCAGGCATTCAAACAGCCTGTGGAATAGTTAATGAAACAGAGAGATGTAGCTGGCATATTGTTGCATGGGAGGGGGAGGGAGCAGGTTACAAAGTGATGATCCTAATTTTACTCCCCAGCACCCTTCCAACCAACCTACCACGTTAAGACATGATTTGGAAAGGGGTCTTCTGAACCACCAGCTGGGGAAGGCTGAGGTAGCTATTGTTTTTTTCCTGCCTTTTCACACATCCTGACATTTTTTCTTTTCTTTTCCGGAAGCATGTATCTATTCAGCGTGCACACACACACATACACTCCTATCAAGTATGATAACTTAAATTAGAAAATCTGCTTAATAAAAAGGAATCAATGCTCAGAATAGAAAATGTGAGATAAGATCCTCATCTTGAAGCCACCGCGGGAGGAGGCTATTTTGAAGCTAAGGATTGTTTACTTTTCTGTTCTTGCTAATTCTAGAACTGGTGTTTGTGAGAGTTGGGTGAGGTTTTATGACTTTTCATGTCTTAGTTTTTACTCTTGATAAATATTTATGTAAATTGCTTTTCCTTCATAGCAGAGGAAAGTTGACGTGTGTTGCTTCTGTGGGGTAACACTCGAGGGTCCTTTCCTGGTGGGGACTCTTAACCTTGACTTTTGCTGACCCCAAATCAGGCAGACAGTTGTAGAGGAGAAAATGGTGGCACAGATGGAAAAGGCTGCCCTTTGGGAAACACAGGCCAAGGTTAATCTGCCCTTCGAGAAATGACTGACCTCAGCCTCTCCATCTGAAAAATGGGGCACATGATACATCATTTCCAAGATTGCTGAGCAACAGAAGGGCAGTGGGTAAGCACCCAGGATCCTTGGGTGGTGTAGTAAACAATCTTGGCTGCTAATAGAAAGACTGAAAGTTCAAGGTCACCTAGGGGTACCTCAGAAGAAAGGCCTGGTGGTCTACTTCCAAAGTAACAGCCACTACTATGGAGCACAGCTGTACTCTGATGCACACAGGGCCACCATGAGTTGGCATCAACTTGATGGCAACTGGTTATGGAGTCAGCATCACTGCCCTCCATCTGTAAAAGGGGGGTCATGCTGCCATGGGGCACTGGTGGTTCACTGGTTAAGTTCTTGCCTCCAGGTCCAAATCAATGCATCTCGTCGTATGCAGGCAACACTCATCTGGAGTCTTGCATGTTGCCATGATGTGAAAGGCTTCAGTGGAGCCACGAACACAGGCCTGGGGATCTCCTTAAAGTCATCAGCCAGTGAAAACCTCCTGGCTCACAATAGTCTAAAAGCAATCCCTGGGCTGGTTCAGGGCCAGGCAGTGCTGGGTCTGTTTATAGAGTTGTCAGGACTTGAGAACGAGGTGACAGCCGTTAACAGCACAACATGATGTCTCTGACACAAAGACTGCATGGATTAGTGGTGGCCAGGCCCACCCCAAGACAGGTGACACCCTGCAGAGCCCAGGTGACAATGCACATGGTGTCTGTGGGCCCACAGACTGCATCCTCCCATTTAATCCTTCTGGTGTGGTGCAGATGCCTCCCCAAAACAATCAGGCAACATGATGGGGCCACAGGTCACCTCCCTCCATGACCGGAAGTGAAGCTGGGAAAGAGTGTTACCCCTGACACCATGGTCCATGATCCCTTCTTCAGGACAAAGGCTGGAGCCCACAGCAGATTTCCCATCAGGTTTTTATTACAAAGAAGGTTCCAGAAAGCCCCAGCCACCTGCTCCAGCGCAGGCCTCCCCTTCCCCCCATGGCCGGATGGTCCCTGCAGCTGCGGGGCTGCAGAGTCCCTCCAAGCGAGGAGAGAAAGGCCAGTCTTCCAGGTGCTGGGGGTCTTAGTTAGGTCCTCCCCTCTCTCTGGACAGTCCTTTCCAGTGTCATGCCGGGAGCCCCCTGGGACCCCGCCCCGGTCCTCTGCACACGCAGCAGCTATTCACAGTTGGCAAGTGATACGTTTTTTAATATAGAAAAGCTTTTTTAAAAAAACAAACAACAACCAAAAACCAACCAACCAAGTGATGCTATCTTTAGAAACACTTCGAACAAGATCCAAGTAGCCCAGCTACATACAGCCTTGATGTATCTTAACCCCTCTTTCCTCAAACCACAGCCTCCCAAGCACCTGTTCCCTCTTCCTTGGCCCCATCTTTCCTCCTGGAGACCCCCAAATGCTTTTGTTGTCACCTCTAGCCCATGAGGAACTGCGCCTTAAAGAACCCAAACTTGCCTAGTATGGGCTTCCAGGGAGCACTCCAGGAGAGGGGAGGCAGAGCCCAATGGGGCCTGGTTCAAGGAGGCCGCCCCCCGCCAGTCTGCATGAGGTAGTGTTTCTGGTGGGTGGCCCTGGGCCCAGTGGCCTCTTCTGCCTTGCAGGGTGGGGCCATCTCAGAATTTGGTCCTTTACGAGCAAGTGGGCGGATGGTTCAGGCTGCAACTGACGGAGGGGCCCTGACTCAGGGTGGCTATGGCATTCAAGGCCCCCAAACAGAGACCAGTTTTGGGGACAGGCAGGAGGGGAGGAAGAAGCCCAAAGGGCCAAGGCTGGAGGCTCCTCTCCCGGCTCAGTGAGGCCCCTCACACCAGCAGCCACCTCCTCTGTCACTTCTCGGCCTGGTTTGGGATACTGAGACCAGAACAAAGCTGAGGGTGCAGTGCAGTGTCTTTCCCTGTCTGCCTGGTTCAGGCCTCACTGTAGCACTCGTAGATGTTGTCCTCCATCAGAGCCACCACCTGCTCAAACTTGTGCTGCAGCTGCGTCCTTCTGGCTGCCGGGTTCGCCTCCAGGGCGGTCATGATCTGAAGAGTGGGTGGAGGGGACAGTCAGCAGACCTCCCAGCCCAGGGCCCCAGGAAGCCCCCTCCCTAGATCCTGTGGGGAGACATGAAGCCCTAGATTCCACCACTGACGGCTCAAACATCTCTTCCGAAGGAAGCTCTCCTTGCATGTCTCTGGACAGGATGGAAGGCCCCAAGGCCTGGCGCCTCACCTCGTGTGCACTCACCTGCAGGCGGTACCTCTTGGCATATTTATAAATCTCTGCCATGGCCACATTGGTGTTAAACTCGTTCTGGTATTTCTAAGAGCAAAGAGGATGAGGAAGAGAGAAGGAAGCCAGTTATTCCAACTGTCAAAGCACAACTCAGCCCCAGTCAAGTCCTGTTGGCAGTTCCCAGAGAAGTCCCTCACTCTCCAGAGCCCCTTGATGTTCAAGTTCAGAGAAGACTCTCTGACTTGTACAGATAAAGGGGACTGTGGATATTAATCTCTTCTTCAATCAAACAGGGAGCTCTGGTGGTTTCTTCTTGTTGTGTACCGTCGAGTGGGAAGTGACTCACAGCCGACCCTCCAGTGGATTTTCAGAGGCAGTGGGTTTTCAGGCGCAAGGGAAATTGCCCATATTTTTCCTGTGGAGCTGCTGGTGAATTCATATCGCGTGCCTTTGAAATGGAAGTGCAGGTTGCTTGGTGGTAATGAACTGTTTCCAACCAACACAAAGGTACATGGTTCAAATCCACCACCTGCTCTGCAGGAGAAAGATGGGAAACCTCCTCCCATGTCATTTACTGCTTCTGAAAACCTGCTGGAGGGTCAGCTATGGGTCAGCTCCAAGCTGACTGTATATAAGAACTCCAACCCAAGAACTCTCTCCTGAGTCAGCCCCCTTACATCTGGGAGGAAGTTCTAGGTGAGGTTGTGCTGGGGCCTGACAGGATGCTGCCTCCTCTGCAATGCCCCGGGGCCTCAGCTCCTGTTTGCAGCACCCAGCATGTGGGTGCCTGCTCCTCCACCCCACGCCCAGACCCTGGCTGTGGGGCGCACCCTTGACTCCTCAGCCAGGTGGGCATTCATCTCCTGCTCGCTGAGGGGTGTCATGTCGTGGATCTGCTTGTAGTAGCGCTGCACAATTTTCCGGTACTCAGGGATCTCCTTGGCATAGAGGAGCTTGTTGGTTGGTGAGTCCTAAGGCAGAAAGGAATTGGGAGACCATGCAGAAGAATGCGGATTGATCTTGTCTTGCCCTGGAGAAGCTCTAGTCAGTCCCTATCTACAGCAGGACATGTGAGCCATGTTACTGGGGTCTCAGGCCTCAGTAGTCTTGTTCATGAGGGTGCCTGAGTGCTCGTTCCACTGTCCTCACCTCTCCTACCTCCTGCTTTGGGGAAAACCTCATGGGTGATATACCAGCTCTTGGCCTCACCCAGGTGGCTGGGTTTACATACTTGCTCGGGGCAACGGGTCTTGGTGGCTAAGACTTCCTGGAAGTCTGATTGCTGGCTCAGTGGAATCCTTCTTACCACATGTTCCCGACACCCAGAAGCAAGCATGCCAAAGACACTCCCAGCTCTCTGTTTATCACGGGCATCCACCTCTCAAGAGAGTGAGAAGTGGTGGCATTTTCTGCCTCTTGCAAGTCTATTGGTGAAATTCATGGACTAAAAAACAGGGCCTACACCCCTATGTCCAGTCCTTTAGCTCTAACTGTCATCAATGCAAACTGATTCCATATACAACAGAACCAGACCATCCCCATGATTGGCTGTGGACTGAAACTAGATTGGCAGGCCTTTCTTCCTAGTCCATCCTAATCCTGGATGTTCCACTGAAATCTGCTCAGTGTCTCAGGGGCACACAAGTCTCCCCTGGCACATGGGTGGTGGCTACATGTAAGGGGCCCTGGTCAGGAATTAAACTTGGGTCTCCCATCTTCAGGACCACCGAACCACCCCCACCCCGAACTACAGTCTCATTTAACTCCCTGTAATACCCGCAGCTATCAGGGCTCCTCTGGGCTCCCTGCTTTCGCCAGTGTTCCTTCTGCAGGAAGCGGGGACGCCCTTCCTCCTCCTCCCTCCTCTAAGGTTGGCTGGCGTCTCTCCCCTCAGCACGCAGCTGCCTCTCAGAGCTGAGGTCACTAGCTTTCTCCTCACCCACCCTTCACTGAAGGTCGGTCACTGCCATGGCACTCCTTGACCATCAGAGGTGCTGTCTGGGGTGTGGTCTGATTATGAGACCATGTTGGTGAATGCCCAGGCAGGCTTACCATGCTCACCCTGCTGCACTGACCAGCTCAGGGCCAGCAGGTTCACAGCCGGTGCTGGGCTACCTGAGGCAGGTGAGGCTGGTCTTCAGTGATTCAGTGTCTGATTCTAGCTAGCTCCCACTTTTTATGTGCTTTCCATATCTGGGATGGCACTGTGTACCCCACTTCTCCAGAGCTCGGAAGAGCTAGCTGGCACCCACTCAGACCTCCTCAGGGAACCCTCCCTGCCCAAGACCCAGCTCACTTTGCCCAGCTGTAGGTCAGAGATGGAGCAGGCATCGATAAAGGCCTGGGCGATGACTGAGAGGCAGGCGTCGATATGGTCCGTCTTATCAATGTCAAAGACAAACTGGGGGTTCTTTAGGATGTTGACCCAGAACCGCAGAGGAAGGCTGTGGGGTTGGATGACAGCAGAAGTGTGAGCCACACCGAGGCTGGGCAAGGGATGCCAAACACCAGTCAGACCCTCCAGGGCACAGGGAGCCTGGGGACCCACAGTGGCTCCTCCACAAACTGGTTTGGTGACAGTCCCTGGCCAGCTTGCGGAGGAGGAGCTGGGACAGGCTTCTTGCTCGGAGCCTGGCAGGCTGCTGGGACAGGGGCTGAGGGGCCTCAGCAGGGGCGGCCTGGCATTGCTGGCCCCCTCAACGCCTCCACACGCCTCTCACGAAGGAGCCTCAAGCCAGTCCCTGGTTCTCATTAGATGCACCCCTCCCTGGGCAGCCCCAGCCCCTCCTCCAGCCCGCTCATGCACGCAAGCCTGACAGGAAGTCCACCAGCAGTGCCTGGGAAGGCCGAGGGAAGGCGGGGACCTGGGCTCTTCGCCTTGTCAGCAGGGGGAGAGAGGAGTGGTGACCTGCCACCAACCCAGGGCCGTCCAGTGACTTGGCAGACCAAGGTGTGTGGGCCACAGGGCTCCGAGTAGCCCCTGCAACTAAAGAGAAACTTCCAGAAACTTCTTGGCCTATAGGCATTTCCTCCCCCTGGGCGTTAAGCAGACGCTTTCACAACTTCTTTGGTGGAGCTGTGAACCAAAAAATCTGAGCTGTGCCTCAAAGGCAGGCTAAGAAGTGAGCACAGAAGTCGGATTTGACCCTGGTTCTGCCACTGATGGAGCTGTGTGAGCCTGGCAGTGGCGACTTCACCATCAGCCTTAGTGGCTTACCCACCAAAACGGAGTGAAGGGACAAGGAATTCAGGACAAGCACTTAATGTAGCTCAGTGGGTGGCAGAGCTCTTCCAAGAATTCTTATCATTCTGGTGAGTTACTTTCATTGCATCTGGGGAAACTGAGGCATGGAAGTGAGGCCACACAGCTGGCGAGTGGCAGGACAGGATGAAGCCATGAAGGTGGGCTTAGAGACCAGGCTCTGAGGAGCACCTGCAGCTGAATAAGTGATACGGCCACGTCTGTACAGCCTTCCCGCCCACCTAGACCCCTGCCCACCCGCCTGCCTCCCACCACCTGTTGGTCTTCCAGATGTGCAGGGTGTCGGGGTCTGAGATGCCTCTCTTCTCTGCCTGCTCCTCCAGGAAGTCAAAGAAGTACTTGACCGCCAGGGGAGGCTTGTCCTCTCGGATGCTCAGAATGGCCTTGAACAGATCGTCCAGGAACTTCTGCAGTGTGCCCTGCAGGACAGAAGGGTAGCCAGCCATCAGCCCAGGGCTGGGCGTGGAGGGTGAGTGGACAGGTCCACTGACTCCTGAGTGGTTTCTCTCCAGAAGATGCTGAATGGGAAAGGCCTGTGCCACGGGGCCAGTCATGTCACATCTCTGGGCCTTGGTTTTCTTATCTGTGATATGGGTTTTGGGATCCTAATCTCACAGAGGTGTTAAAAGGACCAAGCAACATACAGGGGCACCCAGCTGAGCAGTGCTGGAGTAGGGATGTAGATTCTGGGGTGCTGCTGAGTCTTATCTGAAATGAGTAATCTTGGGGATATCATTTCCCCTCTTTGTCAATACAGGTATGCCTCATGCATCTGTAATCACTGTTAACAAGTCAAAAGCTTGTGGTCCTCCACAGGACAGGATCCTAAACCCTCTGCCATGTGCCATGGAGTCCGCCAGGCCCCACAGGGGTGGCAGGAAGAGCTGGCACCCCCCCCCACCAGCAGCATGTACCCACAGCTCCCTACCTTGGTGGACAACAGGCGGGTCAGGTAGATCTCGGGCAGCACCTTCTTGCGGTGGCTCTGTCGATGGGACTTCTTGGGTTCGGACAGCTCGTCTGTGGGCAGCACCTGGAGCCAGGTAGTGGTCAGTATTAGACTGTCCACGGAGGTCTTATCCTGCACCCAGGGACCCCTTGCTTTGTACATGTCAACCAGGAGGGGTGTGGTGCCCCCTGACTCTGTGCCCCACCCCTGCTCCCCATTCCAGCCTTCCATGAGGTCCGGGGTTGGGGGGGCAGGGGGCAGGGCCACACCCAGACAGGGGCCAGCTCCCCAGGGGCCATGGTCAGGCACTCACCAAATGGAAATATTTCTCTGTGTCCAAGTCTTTCACTGCAAGAGGAAACACACACAATAAATAAACAAGAGAGAGGCGGGAGAGACACATTTATTACGAGAGAGAGAGAAAGAGAAAGAAAAGCGAAGGGAGAAACAGACACTCAGACTGAGACTGAGAAAGAGTCAGAAGGCCTACAAGAAGAATGGGTCACCACAGATGAACCCTCAAGAGCCAAGAAGAGACCACCCACTGGGAAGGAGCACTTTACCCACCCGCTCCCAGCCCACAGCTAGAGGCTCAGGCTCAGGCCAAGATCCCGGTTCCAACCTCGGGAGTGGAACCCGAGCCACAGCAGCCCAGCTCCAGTCTGAGCACTGGAGAGAGGGCCTGGACCAACCGAGGAGGGGACATGGTTGGAGGCAGGCACCCCATCCCAGACTCTCTCAGAACCATGTCCCACCCTCCTGGGTCCTCCCTCCAGTTGCCCACAAGAAAGCAGCTTGAGGCCTAGTGACCAGTCCTGGCCAAACAGTGCTGGGTCAGAGGGGGCGGGCAGGCCCTGCCCCCACCTGGGAGGCTCTGGTCTTGCCCAGCCCTGACTTGGAGCCTCAGCTTCTATACTGGGCTGTTCCAATCAGGCCAGCTCAGCTGGAAGGCCCCACGCCCTCCCTGTGTCCAGCCGTACTACCTCGGCCCAGAGTGTTGTCCTTCTTGTCTGTGAGGCTCATGGCCAGGGAGGCACCTTCGGGTATCTGAATGAGAGGAGAGGTCGAGGTCAGAGGTCAGAGATCAGGAGAAGGAGTGGGGGTAGGCAGGGCTGGGGGCCCTACCTTGTAGTGGGCCAGCGTGTTGAGCTTCTTGCGGCCGTCCTCTACCACCGAGGTGTCGTCCAGATCCCGCAGGACATAGCTCTGTGTGCTCGATGCGAACCACTCTGCGGGGCAAGAGGCCAGGTATCAGGACCAGAGGCAGGGGCCCAGGCCGAGGGGGAAGGCCTCAGACCACAGGGACCAAACAGTGCGCAAGAGTCCCCCTCTCTCTGTGGAGTCTCTCGGAACATCTCCCTCCATCTGTAAGGCAGCGAGGAGGAGGGTGTGTAAGGTGCTCAATGAGGCTGGCACAGAGCGAGAGCTGGGGTGTCGTCCCCACCCCAGGGTAGACCGGAGGCTGACTGCTAACACAGTAAGGTCCAATTTGGGTTCTCACACACCCTCCACCCACTGTCTTCAGAGAGTCTAAGCACTAGGCACTGCCCCTCAAGTTCAGATGACCAAGCACCCAGTGCCGTCCCCCAGTCCCCTCATGGTTAGACGACCAAGCACCCAGTGCCATTTCCCAGTCCCCTCACGGTCAGACGTCCAAGCACCCAGTGCCCTCAAGTTCTCAGTCCCCTCAAGCTGAGGTGGCCAAGTCTCAGCATTATCCCCTAGACCCATTCGGGTACCTGATGTCCCCAGCTCTGTCAGGCCATTGCTGCTCTGCCTGCCTGGTTACCATTCCAGCCCCGTGCCGAGAACAGGGCCTGACACAATAAATCTGAACCCACTGCAGCCGTGTCAGCCCGCATCACAGTGACCCTGAAGGGCACACAGCACAGCTGCCTGCAGTGTCTCCTAGGCTTCAGTCTTCACAGAAGCTCACTACCCTCTGGTTCTCCCACAAAGACACTGATGGGCTGGAGCAATTTAGGCACTGTCCCACCAGACATCCTGTGTGATCACAGCAACGAATGGTCTCAACATCCCCAGTGTCCTTCACGTTCCCAACTCTGACCCTTGGGAAGCCTTTCCCGACCACTTCTGCAGTGGGGCACAGCTCGTACACACAGAACACATTATGTCTCCTCAGAGTAAGAGTTCCTGGCTTGATGGGGCCCTCATTTCGTTCACTTAAAGCTGAAGTGATACACTACTAATTCACATTTGCGGCGTGAAAAGCATGCTTCAAACAAAACGGGCCCCTCCGCGCCCTGCCCACCCAGGTCGACATCCTCGGCGCGTGGCCACTGGGAATAGGGCACGTTCTTGCAGAAGGCTTCCAGGATCTTCTCCTTGACCTGTGTCAGTGTGTCCGTGTCCATGGCCCGCACACTCAGCGAGTCCATGCCACAGCCCTGGAAGGACACGTTCAGGTTCTGCGCAGAGAGGACGGGGCAGGGTCAGTGAGGAGCCCCTCCACCAGGCACCAACGCGCAGGCCCGCTGGGGAGTGTGGGGGCCGGGCTCCGCCTGGGACTGCCAGGCCCTCCCAGCCACCTCCAGAGCCACCCCCGTCCACCTGCTAAGCTCACCCGGGGCTTGGCCTCTATGTTCTCCCGCAGCAGCCACTCCTCATTGAGCGTGTAGCGAGCCTTGCCCGTGATGGCATCGATGGAGCCCTTGTTGATCTGCTGCTTGATGGCACACAGGAGCAGGAAGAAGGGCTCCCCAACTGTCTCCTGGAGCGGGGGACAGGGGCTGTCAAAGGCAGGCACAGCACAGCCCCTCAGGGCCTCCTGTCCACCCTGGTTCTGGCTCTGAGCCTCTGGTTGTGAAGGTGCTACCACGTGCACCTTCACTGGAGTCTAGTCAATACCTCTTAGCTGCCCGTTCAGCTCCCTGCCCTCTGCATCCTGCTGCCAATACTGCCGTCCCTGCAGGGCAGTGTCCCTGGAGTCTTAGCTCATGTTTATGAAATGCCACTGGCAGCGCGTGTGTGGAGCCACCAACCCACGACCCTTTCTGATGTTAGCTGCCCTCCTCACTGTGCGGACAGCAACATAGAGGCTCAGACAGGCCAAGCAACCTCAACTTAGCTGAACTCAACCCAGGACTGGCCAACTTCCCAAGCCTGTGACTCTTGAGCTGCGGTGGAACCAGAGCAGATGGCCTCAAACCACTCAGGCCATAGCCTGACCGCTGTAGAGCCTTGTCAGACAGGGCCAGGGCCCGGAACTCCCTGTTTCATGAACAGCACACGGCCAGAAAGGGGCTCATCTTAGCATCTGCTGACTTGAGCTGTGTTCAGGGTCATGGAGAGGGCCAGCAGCCAGGTGCTCCATCTCGATGGGTATTTAAATGGAACCCGCAGGCTGATTTAAAGGAAACATTAAGTATGTAATCGCTTTGGGCAGATCTGGCTCAAGTGGGAAAGGCAGCCTGCCAGCTCTTGTTCCTGATCCAACACCTCCGGTCTAGGGGTTCAAGCAATGGATGCCCCATTATCTGGAAGAGGGAGCAAAGGCTCTGACCGAGAAGGCCGGGCTGTGGTCACAAAGAGAAAGTCAGGGAGTTCGGTGCTGTCCCCTCTCCTGAGATGCCTGTTTCAGCAATGCAGCAGCCACACAAGGGCTGGGGTGCTCTCTCAGCCCCTCCTCATAGTACCAGGCCTGGGCTCCGCTCTGCCCCCGGGGAGTATCCATGAGGCTGCCCAGGCTACCTGGACTCCACTGAACCCCAAGCATGGTGGTGGCCTGGAAGGAAACCAAGTCCCAGTCCCAGAGCTTAGGCTAAGGGCTCCCCCAGCTGCTTTGAGCCAAAGATAGGCCTCCACCAGCCCAGTGTGGTTGAGGCCCAGGCTCTCATGATGCCAGATGACCCCACGGCCTGTGCGACCACAAGGTAGCTGGGTGGTGGGCTGGACCAAGGGCTGAGCAACTCCTTCAGAAAAACCCGGGAGGGGACACTTCTGTCAAGATGAAGGCACCCCTAGATTCACTCTGCCCTTTGACCTTACATAGCCCTTCAAGTCCTTTCATGGACACTCCCTCCTCCCAGCCTGGCCAATGCTGTGACTGGTGCCTAATCCCCACACTGCCCAATGCTTCAGGTGGCCTGCAAACAAACCCTCAGGTCTCAGCCCAGCTCACCTGCTCCAGGAAGCCACCTCAAACCCCTGGAGTAGGTGCACAGAGCAAGAGACCTAGAGGTGTCCTCATCCTGGACTTGCTGCAATGGTCAGGACCTCACTAGGTTGAGTCGACTGTATTTTAATTGCCATTTCCACATCATCTCCTCAGGGGTCTAATCTATCTCCAAAACTCGGAGTAGTGACCCAAGTTGACCAGACAGAGTTGGTAACTGTATTTATGATTGGCAGAGACAAAGGATAAGGCCCCTGACATTGCTTCTCTCTGCTTCAGCCAGAGCTCTTGAAGAAGCCAGGGCCTTTCTAGGCCTTCATTTTCCTAGGTCCTGTGGGCCTTGGGCCCTGAACCAAAGCCTGAAGCACAATTAGAGGCCAGCCTTGGGCTCTGGGCCTGTCTCTCCGTATCTGAGCAAAGGGCACACAACCCCTCTTGGTGTGTTGGTGGAGGACAACACGGGACGGCTCTCTGGAGGCTGGTCTGATACCCGCGTCGTGTACACAGCCTCCTGTCCGGCAGGGAGGCGGTGGGCAGGCTCACCCGCAGACAGCTGTACATGCAGATGGACATCCAGTTAGTGAGCATCTTCTCCACCACGGACTCGGTGCGCCGCAGCATGAGCTTCGGGTTCTTGGCGGCCGAGGCGTCGATGAGGTCCACCAGCAGCTCCTTCATGATGCTCGTGTAGTACTCAAGCTTGCCGTGCAGCGCCACAGTCAGCAGGGAGGCCAGGCTGCACCTGCAGGGGCACACCGCAGAATAGCACCCCGAGATACCGTGGGGCGGGGTGTGCAGCGAGGAAACGCTGAGCGGCTACGTGGACGGCGCCTGGCAGACAGGCCGTGCTGCTAACCACAGCACCGGCTGTGCCCACGAGCCTGTATCTGGAGGATCGAGGCTAAGGAAGAAGATCTCAGGAGCCACAGAACTCCAGGAGCCAGGGACGGAGACTGGGGGACAGATGGGGGGTTGGTCCAGCTAAGACTGAAGACGCAGCAATCAGAAACGGCTCCATCTTTGGATCTGGCCAAGAGGCAAGGCCCTGCCGCACCCCGGGAGACTCCCCGAGCCTGACCTGTCTCGCACAGCGAAGTCCTTCTGCTGCTCCAGCGCATGGACGAAGACAATGAGGAAGTGCTTGTTGTTGAGCAGGGAGGAGAACAGGCTGATCCCCTCCTCCATGTTGGGCCGGCAGCTCTCCGGGATCTGCAGGCAGGGCACAGTGGCCATGGAGTTCCGTCCCTCTGCCCCGCTTAGAGGTCATCGCTTGTGATCCCCTAAAGGACTCCTGGAACCTCACAATGATAGATGCCTCCCAACTCCCCACGACCGAGGACAGTAACTCCATGGGGCCCAGACAGAGGTGAGGGGGTCTGGGGTGGTACAGCATCCAGTGTGTGGCTCCTTCTCCCCGTCCATTCTCTAAGCACTCGATGGGGCGGAGAGTGACAGGCCCAGCCCTCCCTCTTCCCTGCATGGTCTGGGGCCAGCACTGCTAACATCTCAGGGTGTGTGCAGGGGACACCCACCTTCCATTCGCCAAGCAGCGGGTGAGTCTCCTGCACCGGGGAGCTGCCCTGGGAGTTGAGGGTCTGGGAAGGCAGTACATAACGCTCTTCATAAAGGGAGGAACACTGCAGAGGCGAGACCTCCAGCACTTCAGGGATAGTAGAGATGACCCCCCAACTCTGGCAGCAAGATTCATTCAACAAACACTGGTCTAGTAGCCTGCTGGGTGCTTGAAGGAGGCCAGCCCCACTCTCCAAGGGCTGCTGGGAAACTCACACAGAAACAACCCATGTAAAGGAGTAAGAGACAGAGGCCAAGTCCAGGGGCTCACAGGATTTTAGAAAAGGGGGTAGGGTACCCCAAAGGGTTTTTGGGACAGGAGCTTCAAAGCCAACGTGTGGTAATGCAAGACTGCACTAGGCTTAAGAGAATGCAAAACAGCTCAGCGTAGAAGCAGGGACATGGAGAGGCCAGACAGGGTCCTGCTCTGGAAGGCCTCATCCTGCAGCCAAGAACAGACACTCGGGAGTTTTGTGAAAAGTGACAGTGAGACAGGGGATTGCTCTGGCTGCGTGGACAGGACAAGAGGGAGGGGACTGGCCACAAAGGCACAGATAGGTCAGTGAAGTCGGGACAGAGGAGGCATGGACTGTAGGGTAAGAGGAGCTGTGGAGCAACTGAGTTGGTGACAGGAGAATGGATGGGGTGACGAGGCGAGCTTCCCCCAGGAGAGTGGGGCAAGTGGCCTGACTCTAGTGAGTGGGGAGCGAGAGTGAGGGGGAACTGAGTCCCCCTTGGCAGGCCAGCACTGCCATGGGTGGACACAGAGGTTTTGCACCATTCAAGGGGGCCCACGCTGACTTCCCAGCCGCACAAGGTGCCCTCTAGGGCAGCCCAGAGGCAGGAGGTGCAGAGATGGCCATGCGGGCTGACCTTGGGGAAGAAGGTCCGAGTCACAAAGTGTTTGTATTCCAAAAAGGGGATGCCCTGGCTGCGGTTCAGCTCCTTGGTCAGGTCTGTCATGTCCGTCTGCAGCTCGGCAAAGCCTGGTGGGCAGGAGGCAGTGGTGAGTGGACCTGGAGCCCGTTCTTCTGACCGGAAGCTAAGGTCCACGGTCCCATTGTCACCTTTGCGGATCTCCTCGCGGATCTGCGACTCCATCTCCTCCATCTGCAGCAGCGTCTTCTGCCAGTAGCGTTCCGCACGACGGCTCTTGGTGCAGAAGACGAACAGGGCTGTGGGAGGCAGAGGCAGATCAGCCCACAGAGCCCTTTGGAAAGCCAGTGTTGATGCCTGCTCTGTGCAAGGCCTAGGCCTGGGCGGACAGGCCCTGACTGCTAGCCTGGGGCTCCACCTCATGAGAACAGGAGGATCCCTGGCACCCTTAGCCCTTTAATTGCCTCTTCCTCTGTGGACCAACAGCTCCAGAGCTGAACCTGGGCAGGAAGGGCCTTGTGGAGGGACAAACAGAGTCATTGCTCTTCACTTGTCAGTCTTACGTGCGCGTGTGTATGTGTGTATGTATGTGTGTGTTTAAATAGGAGTTTGCAGTGATTACTTCTGAGTGTGGGAGTTATGAGCTATTTGTTTTCTTCTTTTTTAGCATTTTCTGTTCTTTCTATGATGACTGTTACTTGTGAATTAAGAACCTTAAATGCCGATTACAAAGCAGTGTTACATGCAATGCCTCTGGAATGACATAAGCCATCTGTACATGTATACACATTCACTACTCACTGCCACTAACTCTAACTAGTAGAGCTGCCCCATGAGGCTTCCAAAGGTATAATCTTGATGGGTGGCCTAGTGGTAAGAAGTCGTGCTGTAGTCCCAAAAGTACTCGGCTCGAATCTACCAGCTGCTCGAGAGGAGAAGGATGGACAGTCTCTTTCCCATGTGATTTACTGCCTCTGAAAACCCACTGGAGGGCCAGCCAGGAGTCAGTTCCAACTCAACAGCACACAACAACAATCCTTATGGACACTGACAGCCACACTTTTCCTCCAGGGTGGCTGGTGGGTTTGAATTGATGAACTTTTGGTTAGCACTTAGCACTGTGCCATTATGGCGTCTGGTATGTACGCACATGCACACACACAGAGACTTGATAAAAATATAGGAAATAGAGTAAAACATATAAAACATTAGTAATGATCTTTTCCTTCCAGCTTCTTCCTTGCTTATTTCTCTACCTATCTTTACATTGAACATATTACTTTTTTAACAGCTTTACTGAGATATAATTCATCCACTTAAAGTATACATTTTTCAGGGAGCTCTGGTGGCCTAGTGGCAAGAAGCTGCACCGCAATCCCTGAGGCATGCGGTTCAAATCCACCAGATACTCTGCTGGAAAAGGAGGGGCAATCTCCTCATACCAGTCAGATCCGATTTGATGGTACTCACACACAAAATAATAAGATACATTTTTAAAAAGTATACATATTTTTTCAGCATTGCTTTCAATGTATCTACTGTATTGATTGCTAGGGAGCTCTGATGACTGAGTAGTAAGGAGTTGTGCTACCAACCCAAAGGCATGTGGTTTCAATCCACCAGCTTATTCCTTGGGAGAAACATGGGTAAGCTCCTTCCCTGTGATTAACTGCATCTGAAAACTCACTGGAGGGTCAGTTATGAGTTGGTTCCAACTTGATGGCACACAACAACAATATCTGTGTTGCATCAGAGAGAGCTGGACAACTACTAGGGATGATAGAAAGAGAATAGATGACTTTGAGCTGTGGTGCTGGAGAAGAGTACTGAATATATCATGGACTGCTAGGAGAACAAACAAGTTCATCCTGGAGAGGGTGAAGCCAGGCTGCTCCTGGGAGGCAAGGATTCTGAGGCTTTGTCTGACATATTTTGGACATGTTGCAAGGAGGGACCAGTCCTTGGGAGCGTGGAGGGACAGCACAAGATAGGAAGACCCTTAATGAGATGGACTGAGTCAGTGACTGGGATAATGGGGGCAGGTGTGTCAGAGACAATAATGTTGGCACAGGATAGAGCAGGGTTCAGGGCTGTTGTCCACAGGGTCACTATGAGTCACAGGTGACTAACAACAATAATTGTGTAGCTCTGGTTTCCTAGTGGGTAGGGAGCTGTCCTGCTAATCCAAAGGCTCAAATCCACCAGCTGCTCCACAGGAGAGAAAGAAGAGCCATTGCTCCTATGTGATTTACAGCCTCTGAAAGCCTGCTGGAGGGTCAGTTCTGACTCAACAGTAATGAGTGACTTGACTCCCTACTAGCCAGAGAACATGATTCCAAATTCCTCTACCATGACATTCAGGGTCCATGGCCTGGGCTCAGGACACCCCTATCCCTCCCGTGTCCTTTCTTCTGGTGCCATAGCCGGGCACACCGCACCCCCACTATGTGCCTGGTAGGTTTCCTCCTTCCACCCCGCTTCCGTCTTCCCGGGGCCACATCGCCTTCTCTCTTCCCAGAGCTTGGGGCAAGGAGATGCAGGGCCTGCCCTGCGACGTGTTGCTGCCAATCCTTACCAACCACGGAGAGCAGCAGCAGGACACTGCAGATGACAATGGACACGATGATGGCGGTCTCGCTGCCCCCCAGCTGCAACGTGGCGATGGTCTGGTTGAAGTTCCCCACGCGGATCTGCAGAGCAGGCAGAGGGCGCTGCAGCTTCCCTCTATTCGCTCCCTGGCTCCTCCCCTCACCAGCTGTATGCCCTTGGGTCACCCAGCCTCTCTGAGCCTCAGAGGGTACATCTATAGATAATCTCACGGGGTGCTGGGGGGGTTAAATGAGATGATGCTTGCCAAGCCCTTAGTGCGGGCCCTAGAGCCAAGATAAGGACCAATACAGGGGCTGCAGTTACTATTACAGCCAGTTCGGGTGGCCTTATGGTAAGAAGTTGTGCTGTGAACCCAATGCAGGCAGTTCGAATCCACCAGGCACGCCACAGGAGATGGGCAACATTCTCTCATAGGATTTCCAGTCTCTGTAATCCATGGGAGGGCCAGCAATGAGTTGGTTCTGACTTGATGGCACACAACAACAACAACAGGGGCAGTGGTGAAGGGCCAGAGGGAGGGCAGCTGCAGAGGCCCTGCCACGGTCCACAAGCAACCAGAGGTCTTCCTGGATCTGAGGATGGGAGGGCAGCACTGGAAATGGGGCGGGGTAGGGGGGAAGCAAAGAGCATTTCCTCTCAACCAGCATTGTCCTGGGGAGGCACATGCTGCCCAGGAAGCGGGGAAGCAGCAACAGTGCAGAAAACGTTCCATTCTTGGGGCCCCTTCTCTCCCTGGCACACCTTCCATTCTTGCCACAACTTGGGCAGGGTGAGCCACAAATGACTTATGGTTTCTGAAAGTTCAGCCCCATCAGGTCCAGGCAGGGCCAGTGAGCAGCCCTGAGCAGGTCTCAGTGTTGCTGGGCCTCAGGCTGCTGGTGCATCACGAGACGTCAAGTTCTGCTTTGCTGCGTGTGTCTGAGCATGAAGACACTTCCATGGTCTCGGAAGTGCTGGGCCCCGGGCTCAGTCAGCGGGCCAGGCTGGAGGTGGGCTCTCTGTTCCCTATGCGTCCACTCACCGTGATGGGCAGCTGGCCCTCTGTGGCACCCAGGGACTCGTTGACGGAGCAGTGGATGACCCTGTCAGAGACGAGCTGGATGTCGCAGGCCACCTGGCCTATCTTGACCCGGTATTCGTGGCTCTCCAGCCCCAGTCCATCCTGCTCTTTCTGTGGGCACAGGGTCAGGATTCACGGGGCGCACACAGGCGGATCCCAACCCCACCCCACTGGGCCCTGCGCACTCACATGGATGACCAGGGTCAAGGGCTCCCCAGGATGGTGCTTGATCCACTTCTCCCGCTTGGCCGTGGAGAACTGTGGGTCGGGGAGGTAGTCCAGGCGGAACCTGCTGCCCCGCTGGACCTCCTCGGGGTCCAGCAGCTCCTCAGCCCCGGCCGCCTCATCTGCATAGACCCGCCCGTTGATGAAGAAGTCCACGGGTGCGGAGGCGTTGCTCAGGGCCCCGGGGGAAGGGCAGGTGATGAGGGTGGCGTTGACAACCTTGCAAAGCTGGGAAGAGAGGGCAGAGGTGGGAGGTGAAAGGGGAGATCAAACAGGCAGAGAGAGAGGAAAAAAAGATTGAGGTGTCGAGTAGACAAAGAGAGAAAGATGCGGAGAAGGGAAGAGTGACAGAAGGAGGCAAAAGGAAAGAAAGATGGCAGGAAGACCAAGGGAGACAGAGGTACAGAGAGATGAAGGGAGATAGGAAACAGAGACAGGGACAGGGAGAGATGCAGTGGGAGGAAGCCCGCTCGGTCAGCCCGGCCCCCGGCCCCGGGCTGCAGCCCTCACCGTGGGCTCCCGGCCAATTTGGTGCACGGTCATAGACACGTTCTGGACCATGTGGAACCGCTCACCCGCCACCGTGATGGTCCGGCCGCCACTGTGGGGAAGCAGGCGTCGGTCAGACCGGCTGAGGCCTAGTGGGGTCCAGGGCCCCACAGGGTCGGGTTCTCACCTGACCAGGCTGCGCTGGGGGCTCATGGCCGTAATGACAGGGTTCCGCATGTACCAGAAGGTGAGGTTGCCGCGCACGCAGCCCTGGCTCTCAAAGCGCACACACACGGCCACGGACGCGGCCAGGGTACCACTGGGCACCGTGCAGGAGATGCTGGTGGCAGCCCGCCTGGGGGGGGCAGGGGTGTCAGGGGGCCGCACCCACCAAGTGGGGTCACCCCTGCTCACCCTCAGCACCCTGTTGTGTCCTTGGCCTCTTTGGTAGAAACCTTTCCAGGCCAAGAGTGCTCCAGTCCCCACTATCACTCCCTCCAGGCCATGCTCCCTACAGCGGCCACCTCCCCACTCCTCTCCCATCTTTAGCCTGCTCATCATAGCAGCTCTCCAGCCACCCTGCCAATCCCTGGCCAGAGCTCCCAAAGCCCTGACTCTCCCAGTCCTGTGCCCATTAGACACTCCCACTTTCCTCAGAAGACTGGGGCTTCTTGAAGGCATCCTGGTCTCCCTAGCAATGCCATCCATGGGCTAGGATACACGGCAGGTTGTTGTTGTGTACTATTTCATCACAACAGAGCCATAGCTGACCCTCCAGCTGGTTTTGAGAGGCTATAAATTGGGAGTTGACTGCCCATCTTTCTCCCGTGGAGCAAGCTGGTGGGTCTGAACAACGTGCCTTAGAGTGGGCAGTGCAGCTCCTTTCCATCAGGCCACCAGAACTCCCCACACAGCAGGTCAGGTGCAAATAAAGAGATTCTGGGCTGGACTCTGCCACTGACCACCCTGCTGGGTCAGCCAGTAGGCCTCAGGGTGTGTATGATCATCACGGTTACTATCACTTAAGTAGCACCTGCTGTATACCAGTGGTACAAGGAGCATTTCCCACACCTTCCAGGCAATGTCCTTACCAGACCCGGAAACTGAGACTCAGTGAAGGGAAAGGGCTCGACCCACGAGTCACAGCCACCGGGGACCTGAGACACATGTGGTGCCCACACACGGGTGCTGGACCCCGGAGCTTACACAAGATCCGTGCAGGGCTCTGTGTCGTTGACCAGGACCTGGAGTTCAGAGCCCACATCGAGGTGGCCCCCGTGGATGGTGATCCTGGTGCCCCCTGCCTTAGGGCCCATGGCAGGTTCCAGGAAATGGACGAGGGGTAGCTGTGGGACAGGCAAGTGGTGAGGCTGGAGGCAGCCTTGGGTTGTGGCAGCTGGGCAGTAGGGGTGCTCTTACCACGTAGGAGAAGCGTTCCTTCGACCGGCCCTCCTTGGAGGCATTCACGGTCACTACGTCCGAGAAGGGTCTCAGGGCTGGCCCTGTGGCACATACAATCCTATGGGGAGTACGGGGGTAGCTCAGGTCAGAGGATTGGCCAGCAGACCCCAGGATCTGAGCGGGGACTCCTTGCTTTCTCCTTTGAACAATCACCAACCCAAGCTCTGGCCACAGCCTGTGATATGTGTACTCCCCGCCGTCGCATCTGACCTGCCCCCTGCCCCAGGTGAGTGAATGCCACTCGCCTGGGATCCTCCAAGGACATTATAACAAAATATGAAAACAAATCCACGTTTGTTAGTAAATAAGCACGCCAAGCTCTCCAGTCCCCCTACCAGTGCCAAGCTCTTCCCAGAACCACCTCCACCCCCAGCCCAGCTTTCCCACAAATCTGCAACTCTGAGATGAGATGCTTGACGAGAGGGTCTCTCGGGACACATTAAAGTTCTCTGATCATGAGAACATATGCTAGGCTGGAAGCCGATGGTCTTATCTTGCCCTGCTCACAGGCATTTCCTAAAGTCCCTTTGGGCCTACCCTGGTGCTGCACACCCAACTCTTCAAGCTGTTATCACCAGCCTCCAAACATCTCTCCTATTCGTGTGTGTGTGTGTGTGTGTGTGTGTGTGTGTGTGTGTGTGTGTTCCTAACAGCAATGCTTCCGTGAGAGCAGGAACATTTGGGGAAGTTGAAGGGTTCCTGGGAGGACTGGGAGGTAGAGGTGTACCTTGAAGGACAAGGGATATGGAGCAGAAAGGAATGCAATGGAGGGTGTGAGAAAGGAAGTGTCCATCCAGCCCCAGCAGTGTGAGCAGCTTGTTGGGGGCAGCCAGGTGCTAGGGAGGAGGGCGGAGCTGAGGCGGTGGGAGGAATGACCCCAGAAGCAGCCAAGCCTGCCCGCCACTCACTGCTCTGACACGGCGTATCTGTCAGCCAGAGGCTCACAGGCCACATCTCCAATCCACACGGCCTGGGTCACATCCTTGAACCGCTGGCCCAGATTCCGGCCCCGGATGGTCAGCAGCGTCCCACCATCCAGGGGGCCACTCAAGGGCTCAATCTGCCAGAGAGAAGGGAGAACGGGTTGAGGCTGGGTCCACTGTCGCTCACAACAGGGGGAGACAAGGCAGACCTGTGATTTAGAGGAGGACAGGAGGCCGGGGTGTGGCCAGGAGAGAGGCCCAGTGCCTGACAGGCAGGTGGAGGTACAAGTGAAGGGGTGTGTGTGTGAGACACAGAGCACATAACATGGTCAGTCCCACCCAGAGTGATGCCAGGCTAGGGCCCAGGGGCCATGTCTGACCCTCTGAACCAGCATCCAGCCATAACTGATGAGGTTAGGATGGAGACCTGATCCTGACTAGTCAATTAAAAGTCTTCCCTGGGATTTCTGCCTTAATTAAAACTTGGGGTTTTTAGTTGTTAGGTGCTGTGGAGTCGATCACAACTCAGTGACCCTGTGAACAACAGATCTGAAATTTGTCCTCATCTGTGCCATCCTCATGATCTCCCATCATGCTCAAGTCCACTGCTGTCACTGTGCCAATCCATCTCCTAAAAGACCTCCTCTTCTGCTGACATTCTGTCCTTACCAGCAGGATGCCTTTCTCCAAGATTCTTCTGTCATTCTTATTCACTGTCTAACTTTCAGCTGCATTGGAAGCAACTGAAAATACTACGGCTAGTGTCAAGTTCACCTCAGTCTTTAAACTGACATCCTTGCTCTTTAGCACTTTAGGAAAGTCCCAGGTGGCCTTGATTATCACGTTGTCACCAAGGTTCCCTAACATCACTTAAAAAAAAAAGTTAGTGACACTCAGTCTGGCTTCCCCACTGTCTGTCTGCAGTCCCAGCATCCCTGCCCATTCTTACCCACAGCACTGAAACTCTTTTTTTTTTTAAAAAAAAAACAACCTAATAATCAATACCCTTGGTATTGATGGTACCTCATCAGTACCAGAAGTCAGGAAATGAGGAGATATATTGTATTTGAGGAAAATCTTCAGTCAGGGACTTCTCCATATTACTAATAAGTAACGATTCAGTTTATAAACTAAGGTGAGCCTTGTTCAGGCTGTGGTCTTTTCAATCATTGCTATGCTGCTGAAAAGCTGGACAGTGAGTAAGGATGACAAGAATTATTGATGCTTTGAGCCATGGTGCTGGAGAAGAGAACTGAATATCCCATGGACTGCCAAATGAACAAACAGATATGTCTTTGAGGAAGTGCAGCCTGAGTGCTCCTTGGAGGCAAGATGATTAAACGTCATCTCACGTGCACTGGGCATGTGGAGGGTTGGTGAAAGAGAAGACCCTCAGCCAGATAGAATGACACAGTGACTGCTGCAATGGGCTCAAGTGTGCTGCAGATTGTGAGGATGGCACAGGATAGGACGGCGTTCAGATCTGTTGTTCATGGGTCACTAGGAGTTGTACTCCACTCGACAGCACCTAACAACAACAACAATCGCTGTGTCTATTCTAATTCCTAGCGGCCTGACAGGACAGAGTGGCTCTGCCCCATATGTGTGCCAGGCTGTCATCTTGACAGAAGCAGACTGCCAATCTTCCTCCTGCAGAGCGGCTGGTGGGCTTGAACTGCCAACCTTTAAGTTTGTCGCTGAGAGTTTAACCACTGTGCCACCAGGATTCCTTCCATGGCACTTCAAACTTTCTATCTCTATACTATCTATTTCCTTTTCTTGTTCTTTGTCTGCCTGCCGCTCACACACCTTCATTCGCTCGCTCCACAGGAGTGGGACACTGTTGTGCTGGTGGTGACGTCCAACACCCGCTGTGAGCCAGGTACTCAGGAGGTGCTGGAAGGGTGCCTGTGGGGGGGTCCCCCGCCAGGTGTCTGCGAGCCCAGGAGGGTGATGGAGGTGCACCTGGGGGTCAAAAGCATGAGGTGCAGGGGCAAACGTCAGGGCAGGCTTACCGAGTGGATCTCAGGGGCAGGGCACGAGCCAGGGAGGGGCTGCAGGGCACCCCGCAGGCGACAGCCGTTGTTCCACACGCAGAGCTGGCCCAGGTCCTCACGGCCTAAGCACTGGGAACAGTCGGGGCTGCCCATGGCACAGTTATAGACCTCCACTAGGAAGACAGAGGGAGTGGGTCAGCCTCGTCCTCGGGGTGCCGTTTCCACGATCTCCTCCACACCCCAACTTCCTCTCACCATGTGGCCCACACAGAGGCAGACCCTAGTCCTGGGGATCAGGATCCCTCCTGGAGGTTGGGGATTTCAGCCCATTCTCTAAACTCCCCAAGCCCTCACTGTGGTCCACCTTACTCAGTACCACCCTCCTCCCTGTGACTATCAGGAGGGAGTGAGGGGGAGATAACCCCGTTTTGCAGATAAGAGACTGAGGCTCAGAAGGAAGAGTGACTTGTCTAAGGTCATTCACCAGTCGGGGCAGAACAAGATTCATGCCCCGGTGCAGTGCAAACCCTGTGGGGTCACTCTGGGACTTTCCTCTGAGGCCTCCTGGCTTCTCAAAACCTTATGGTCAGGAGAGAGCCAAGTGGGCATGGGGGCACCTGTTGGGGTTTAGGAACCCTCATGTCCACTAGAGAAATAAAACACCCCTCACTGACATCAAATTAGAACTTGACTGAACCTCCAGGGAGTTATCTGAGGCTAAAACTTGCATGGGAGAAAAGTGCCCACTTTGGGATTAGCAGCACAAATCCCTACTGACTAGGCCATCAGAAATCAGGCATGAATAGACGGGTCCCTGGGAGTTGATTAAAAACAGGAAATGGCAACAGTGAGAACCACCACATTATCAGGGTGTTGCTTCCTCAGGCATTGTTCTCAAGGTTTTGAATGCGTCAAATCCTGACAAAGCCTTCACTGCAGAAAGGCATGAGGAGGCTCAGAGAATGCAAGCAACCAGCCAGCGCTGCACAGGCATCCTCCCGTAAGCCTGGATCCATCATCTTCCGCTCTCTAAGTGCTGCGTGACTGAAGGGTGGGTGCATTCTGGTGGTGCCTGTGCCCCATCCACACTGGCTGAGCCCCCCGCCCCGCCCCGTGCCCTGGACTGCTGGTGAGGAGCTGTGTGGGGTGGATGGGGGATCCCACCTTTCATGGGATCCAAGCTGTCCAGGAACCGGGCTGGCCGTCCCTTTAGCTGAAGACTGAGTGGAAACACCTGGCTCTTCTGGGTGGTGTGCAGCTGCCAAAAAACCCCAGAAAGATCTGAGTCAGGGTAGGGGGTACCTGAACCTCTCTTCTGAGGGAGGGGTTCTGGTGGAGGAAGGAGAGGTCAGGGCTGTTGGGGATGAAGTTGACAGAAGAGAGGGGTGTGGCAGGGAAGAAGGGAGACAGCATCTGAAACGGTGCAAGCCACCCCCTGCCCTCCACTGGAGCCACACTACTTACTACTACTTGGTTACAGCGTACAGTTGATTCATTCACCCACACGGCCTCAAAGATATCTTCTGATCCAAAGCTGCACTCGAGGGCTGTTCCCTGAGAGAAGTGAGGAACAGGGAGGCTGGGGAGGGCAAGGCCCTCAACACATCATGGGCAGCTGCCTCACAAGGGGGGCTTGGTCCTAGCTCCAGACCTCTGCTAGGACTGTGCCTTCCTTCAGCATGCCCTTCCTTGGCTTCTATTTCCAACATATGGACGGGACAAGGAGTATGTGAACCCCCTAAACTCTGCCCTGTGGTCTCCAGACCCCTAAGAGCCTGTCCAATATTCTCTGAGAGCCAAACCAGAGGCCTTTGACCCAGCTCATCAAGTCCCAGCTTGTTAAGACGACTGGTATTCACAGTTCATCCAGTGAGACTCTACTTGCTTCCTGAACCTCAGCATTTTCACCTAGGCATCCTGGCCCAGTGGGGACCCCCTTTACCACCACACACTCTCCAGCCTGTGAGTCTATTCCTAAGTCCATTCCTCTGCTATTTTCACCACCCAGAAAAATTAAACACCCAGCTCAACTATCCCACATCCAAAGCTGCCTTCCGATGCAGGGGCTCCCCCCATTTGACATCATTCATTTACTCAACAATGAGTAACCATAGCCAGGTGCTGAGAGTTCTCTACGCAGCTCCTAATGCTCGAAAGCCCCAGCTTTATCCCACATCTCCCCACTCACTGGGGGAAGGCTGGTCGCGCCCCCGCCCAGCCTTCCTGAGGCAGCAGATGGCAGTTGGAAGAGTTCATGCTCTGTATCATACGCCACTGGGTTAAAATCCCATCTCTGCTGCTTTCCAGCTGTGTGAACTTGCAGAAGTCACTCCTCCTCTCTGACCTCTGTTACCAGACCGTGGACACTGGGAATAAGATTCCCCCACCCTGCAAGGTGCCTGGGGGCAATGAAGATCAAGGTTCTCTAGTGGGCTGCACCCTGACCCACCACCAAGTCAATTCTGACTCATAGCAAACCTACAGGTCTCCTGAGGAGTGAGTGCCCGGTGGGTGTGAACCACTGACCTTTCAGTTAGCAGTTAGGTGCCTTGACCACTGTCTCACCAAGGTTCCTGAATTGCATGCAGTAGCTTCTTAGTGTGTGCTGACTGTTATCAGTATGCAGGAGGCACTCGAGGATGTTTGTTACCACAATTCACAGAACCCAATTTTCTAGTTGTATCTTGCCCTTGGTCCGATCTAGACCTCTTAGGAGCATTAGTAAAGGGTTCAGAGCTGTATACACAGGGTCACTATACATCGCAGGTGACTCAATGGCACATAACAACAATATATGACAGGTTTGGAAGCAGGAGTGGCATCCACTTCTAAATAACATGCCTCTGGAAACTCTATGAACTTTGTAAATGTTAATAGTTGTAGAGGGGCTTCAGGCCATTTGTTCATAGGGTTGCTATGAGTCGACTTGAAGGCAATCAACAACAACTAACAACAACAGGCAAAGGTTTTGTGCTGATGAGGCCACGCGCCTAGCCAACAGCGTGGCAGGACTATCTGCTTATGTCTCTGTCACTGGCCGATGTGACACCCTGAGAAAAAGGAAGGTCCGTCTCCATCCTGCACCCCCTTCTACCTTAATATTCTGGGATTCCTGCAAAACTAACACAGGAAGCTTGACTGTTGACTGGTTTGAACATTCATTCTGACCCCCATCAACCAGGTGTCCTCACTGGCCATCTCAGGATAGTGTGTCAGCCCAACCTGAAGGCCTCAGCGTGTAGGCTCAGCTACAGAGCCCAGGTAGGGGGCTGCTGCATGTCGCCCCCCCCTGCTCCCTGGGCTCCTCTGCGCTGGGTGTTCTCAGAGCAGGTCTGGAAGGCAGAAGGGCAGGGATTGCCCTGACAAGCAGCTGTGGTACCTGATCCCTGGGACTGGCCCCTAGAGCTACACAGCTAGACAGATCAGCTGGGCTCTGGCCCACACACAGAGGCTCCTGGAGCCCTGGGGGTTGGGGGAGCAGACCTGGCCTCCCCACTAACCTACGCCCCTCCTGAGAGGTCCCACCTTAACCCCTGCGGGACGTGCTAAAAGCAGAGCCCCCTGCATTAGCTGCAGCCCAGCCCCAGGATCCTGACATGTTGAGATACCTTGCACGTGGCCACCACGTGTGTCAGCTCTGTGGAAGCTAAGCGACAGATGGTAAGTCCCCAGGAGCTGGGGAGGGGGTGGCTGGCACGCTGCCAGGATTCGTCAACACCTCCCACCCAGGACAGGCCTCCAGGAGGGGCCCAGAAAGGGGCTGTGTCCCTCCCCCAGCCCACAGGAGGTGCTGATTTCAGTGATGAGCACTGGATTAGGGGTTCAGGACCAGAATGGGCATCCAGCCTCATGCTGTGTGCCTGGAGTTCTTGCCTACCCCAGTCTGGGGCTCACCCTCCCAAGGGGAGCAGGGTGGCAACAGGGTACTCTCTCTAGGGAAGGAGTGACAACCACAAACTGACGAAGTGGAGCCCAGGAGGGCAGGGGGCCCAAGGTCACACAGCTCAGCCTAGGGTTAGGTCAGGGTTCAACAAAAGACAAGAGCTGCTCTGAACCCCACTCCCTGGGGCCTGGTGCTAGGAGTCCTGCTCTGCCTGGAGGATCCCATTTAGGGGTGAGCCCTGAGGCTCGCCCTCTGCCCGACCCCAGCCTGGCCTACACTTACCAGGAAAATGGAGGCATTGGCCAGAGATACCAGGATGTTCTGGGAGCCACCTGTGGGCACAGGTGCCAGGGACGAGGGCAGGATCTGAGGACAGTCTTGAGGGATCTGCAGGCAGAAGGAAGAGGAAGCACGAGGGGAGGCATTTCAGAGGACAGGCCGGGGGTACTCCACCACCCAGCCCATCTCCTGCAGTGCCAACTCCCCAAGGAGCTCACACCTGCCAGGCTCCAGCCAGGCTGTGAAGTGAGTAAACACTAAACAGATTCATGGCAGCAGCCACACAAAGGGCCCTGTGCCTAATGCATCCCCTGAGAGCAGGAGGTGGCCTTGACCCCACTCTGCAAATGAGGAGCCCCTTGAAGAGCCGGCTGGTGCTCCCCGGGCCTCTAAGAAAAGACCAGGCAGCCCGACTCCGCACACAGGCCACTGCCAGCGTTGCTGCTGGTTTCCAGGCTAACACGTGAGACGTGACACAGAAGATAAGAAACTCGGGCTCTGGACAGTCTCTGGGGCAGGGCTGTGAGGGCAGGGAGGCCAGGAGGATGCTAACAGGGCCCTGCATTCACCAGACCCTTTGGTGATCACCCATCTCTGCCACCAGCTCTGGGAGGAAGTGTCAGGTCCCAGGCTCTGGAGGAAAGGCCCAGGCTCTGGCCAGCAGGTGCTCCTCACTCTCTCTGCTCTGGGGAAAGGGGACTATTTAAAAAAAAAAGGAAAAGAAAGTGAAGGTCAAAGAATTAAAATGAGCTACCCTAGTTCACAGCCAGTGTGGACAGTGTTGGACTTTGAACCCCTGCTTGTCCAGTTACATGGTCAGTGAATCAGTCCCTGTGCACCAGATACTATGGGGACATCCAGCTCCACTTCCAGAGCCCAAGGCCTGTTGGAAATCTACTGTCTCCAAGTACTGGGGGAAACTGAGGCCTGCCCAGGAAGAGCGTCAGGGCTGTGCCCACCACATCCACCTTAGTGGCCCCTCTGAACTAGGAAGTCTGCAGCCTTGATTGTCCAGGATCCTTCAGACCTGGAATCTGTGGGGAGCTAATTCCTACTCCTCATTCCCCAGCGCTAATCTGTTGGGGCTCCAAGCAAGCAAGACAGGGGATCGGTGACAGAGGCAGGGGGGATCTTCCAGCCCAGGGGCCTCCTGCTCCGCCCTCCTCCTACCCGAGGATGGTTGGATGGAAACAGGCCTGGAAGCAACCAATGAGCCACGTTTGTCCACCCGAGGCCACCCACCAAAGCCAGACGCTGCTGGCCAGAGATTGTTGGGCCCTTGCTGGAGTGTTCGCCTCTGAGTGCTGATCTGGGCTCCTGAGGGCAGGATCTCAGTATAAAACCAACAGAGGCTTTTCGCTTCAACAGGATGTCAAAGCCAATAGTAACAAGAGCGGCAACAGTCCGCTCAAAGCACACTCAGCAGGGGCTGTGCACAGTTCTGGGCCCTTTGCACTGCATTAATTCACTAAATCGTCTTCCATACAACCTACAACATGATTGTTACACCCATTTCTAGAAGAGGAAAACGAGAGACAGAGACGCAGAGCCAGCTGCCCCAGGCGGGATGGACAGCAGGTGAAAGCCCGAGTTCTCCGGATGCTTCCGTTAACTGCGAGGCCAGAGTTTCCTGGACAGAGTGTCTGGTGCAGGCTTCAGGTGTCTGAGCTGCAGACAGACACCAACAGGCTCAGGGGACACACCTGAGCTGGCCTGGGAGAGGCTGGAGGTAGGAACCAGCTTGCTGTGTGAGCAGGAACCAGTCACTGTCCCTCTCTGGTCCTCGTACCTCCATGATTGAATTTTCTGAGGCAGGACTGCTGGACAGGATGGGTCCCAGGTCCCCTGCAACTCTCACGCTGCCATCCTGTACCCTCTCATGTGCAAAGCCTCTGAATTTCAGGGAGTGGAAGCCACATGTTTTTGATCAGGTTTCATAGCTGCTGCTAGGTCTGCTCTGCAGCTGGCTGGGGGCCCAGCATCTCTGTCCTTCCAGCTCCTCCCCCAAACTTGAGTATATGGCCAATAGTAAGGGCAAAGGGAGCTCCCCCAGGGCCCCAAGAAGCCCTGATGGAATCCTCAGATGGAATAGTACGGGATACTCCCTAAAGAGTCTCATTCTTTTTTTGAATGCTTATCACTATGGGGGCAACAATGCTCGTATCCATTCTACAGAGTGGCATGGAGGGTGAGTACGGCACATCCTTCAGGTCTGCTAGGTCCAGCAGTGCCACAGGCGAGGTGGTTTGCTGCTGCCTGCTTCGAGCTGCCACCAAAGTCTGGCTTAGCGTATGGTTTGAGTAGACTGACCTGACCCGACCTCCTAGTCCCAAGGATGGATAGGCGCCTTGGCTTGTCTAGTATTGATTCAGGGAGGGGATGTGACCCAAGCTGAGCCAACAAGATGAGACTCTGAGGGAAACAGCAAGGAAGAGAAGTTCTTGTCTCCTAGGCTGCCAAGCATCAGAACTCACCCAAAGAATAGAGCTCCCCAAAGGACTGAGAGACCCTCTGACAACTGGTACATCTGGATCCAGCTGTGCCTGAAGTGATACGCTTCACCTCCTACTCTAGCCGTCAAAGCTTCAAAGACAGGCGGAGTGGATTCCCCTTTGCCAAAGCTTAGTTCAGGACCCCATTGCTGTGTCTGGACATGGCTGACACTGTGGGAGAGCCGGGCTGGGGGGCACGCTGAGTAGAACTGCTGGGGCAGTGGGTGCATAGTAAACCCAAGACCTGACCTAAGTCACTGGTTCACAGAGCTATCCATCAGCTCTGGCATGGTCCACATGGGAAAGCAAGGCTGAAATTGTCCTCACAGCCCCCTGCGGTATCTGACCAGCAGAGCATATTCAGCCAGGGACTCTGATTCCAGTGAACCCGGCCCCATTTTCTTTACCTCCACAATCACCCCTAAGCTAATCCCAAATTCAAGCCTTTCCCTCCACTGGCTCCCAGAGGTTCCACTCCAGGCTTCCATAAGACAGCCATCCCACCTGCCAGAGACCTTCACCTCCTTACTCCCACCCCGTCCTACTTGCCCTCCCTCCCCTCAAAGCCAGGGCTGTCCTTCCAGTATCTTCCACCCAAACCCCTCCTGATGACCCACAGAGACCCATCCAAGCGGCATGGCACCTGGGCAGTTAGCTGGCACGTAAACTAAATGCCAGATTGAGTATGAGTTCAGGGCTTCCCGCAGTCCTGGGGAGGGGCTGCATCCTCTCCGGGGAGATTACAGCAATCATCTAAGACACCTCCCAACCACAGGGCTACTGGCCTGGGAGCTGCTCAGATGGGACTGGGGGACTTGAGAGACACAGGACGAGGTCAGATTGGAGTCAGAAGGGGGCAAACAAGGCTGGAGGGGTTAGCAGTCTGTAAGGATCCAGCTTAGCAGGTCCCTCCCCAGACAGACTCCCTCTAATTCACCCAGGCAGCAAGGGACCCCCAGAGCTGGGGGTCACAGTGGCATTTCAGTGTGGAATACAGGGACACAGAGAGTTTGTGCCAAGTCACATTGCCACAACAGACACCCGAGGCTCCTGGGGTGCCTCCTTATCCTGCTCTAGGGCATACTCGGGCATACAGCAGGCACTCAATGCCTGCTGCATCCTCTTCTCCAGTATTCCTGAGTTAGAGCACCAGGACATCGGTCACCCAGGCCCTGCTGCACACACAGCCCTGTGTTGGAGCTGAAGGAGACAGCCTGGACTGTGGGAACCAGGAGCCTCTTGGGGCCCGTCTCCTGGGAACTGCCATCACAGCCTTTTGCCTCTGAGGCAAGCACGTCCCTGTGAAGGAATCCTCACAGCCGTTCTGGGCATCCAGTGTGGAGCCCTCCTTTTCCAACAGACTGGCCACAAGCACCTGCTGTGGTAGATAGGACTTCCAGGACCCCAGGTTTATTGTGCCTCATGCCCACAGTGCTCGACTCTAGGGGGTGCCAAGCACCCTCCCTGGAAGGCAGGGCAGCTGGGACATGTTGGCCACTCAGTTGTGCCCTCCAGGACATCCTTTCCTACAGAGATGTGCTGTCAGCTAGTGCCCCTCATTGCTCGGACACAAGACACGGCCCAGCAGCCAGGCCTGGGGGGGATAAGCGGTGCTAGAGGCCAGCCCAGACTCTCCACTTCATTGGGTATTACCATCCCAGTCCAAGTCCTGTCTAATCACCCCTGATACCAGGCTGGGTGATCTTCGAGCTTCTCTGGGCAGAGAGGCCACACAGCAAGTGAGTTTATTCCAGACACCAGCGAGGTATGTGGTTTCTCCAGTTGTCTCTTATCCTCTACCCCCTAGTTTAATGGATTAAACCCAGCACCCTCCTAGCCAGCACAGGAGACACACACAGACTGGGGGACTGACACGGGCAAGTGGGACTGTGGTCAGCAACCCCTCCCAACAGGTAGGACCATGGCATCCCACCCAACAAACTTGGGCTCTTCCCTCCACAGGAAAACTAAGTCAGGGGCCTTTCTGCTGGAAGAGGTGAGAACTGGGCTCTCAGGAGGGTCATGGGTTCAAGACCCAAGTCTGGGACTTCCCATCAAGTCAACTCAGACGTAGGGTATCCCCATCTGTTACAAAGCAGAACCACTATTTATGGTTTTGTTAGTTGTAATCCTTCACAGCAGCAGAGAAGTCACTGGATGGATTTGAACCACAAACTATAACTTTGCAATTGGTTGAAAACCATTTGCATCACTCTGGCCCTTCAGGATTATAAAAATGCCAAAGGACTGTTTGAAAGTCTTGACAGAGATGTGTGGAAATGCATATTGCTACTGCAGGTGGGAGCTGAAAATGGTCCAAGCCATCTGGAAAACCGTTAATGGTGTGGAATTAAGTCTGTATCCTGACCCCAAAGTGCCACCTCAAAAAATGGATGGCAGGGGTGGTCAGGAATCTTTACAATACACAGGCTATGAAGGTGGACAGTGTGGTGATGTGGAAACGCAATGAATCAGGGAGGTGTGGCCAGGGTGTCTGATCACAGGGCACAGGCTAGCTAGCGTGCTGCAGCAGCTGATGAACACTATACCTACCACCAAGGAGGGCGACAAGGAATCGAACAACATAAACACAGTTCTCAACATATTCAATGCAAAAACCACAGCAGGTGATGCCACAGGGGAGAGAGGCTGCTGCTTGTGCCTGACTTACTGTGAGCTTCGGGGAGGCCGCGCACAAGGACTGGTTGGACACGCAGGCATGCTGCTGAGTGCACCAGAAACAGGGCCACTGTGTCGACAGGCAGCTTGTGCAGCTGGAAGGAAGATAAGGGGCCCCTCAGATGTGGCTTTTCCATTCTTTACCTCCATGGGCCCCGCAGGAAGCAGATCACAGGACAGAATGGGGTAGGTGAGTGGGTGTTTCATCCTCAAAGAAGCCTCAGAGGGCTTGAGGCTTCGTTACGTAATGAGCTCAGTGTCACAAGAGGTGTGTGAAAAGGAAAAAGGTGGCTGGAGCCTTCAGGAGTCTCAGGTGGCACAAATAGTTAAGCACTCAACTATTAGCCTAACGGTTGGCTGTTTGAATCCACCGAGTGGTGTTTAGAAAGCCAGGCCTGGCAATCTGCTTCTCCCAGTCGGCTTTGTGGCTCTGTTACATACGCACAGAGTTGACTCCACAGCACCTAACAATAGCTAAGGTGCTTCTCTCTGCCCCATAGATTGGGTGTCCCTAAAGGCCAGGGTGTGGTTTGTGAGAGTTTTGTTGCATAAATGATGCAGGAGCTAGTGAGTGAAGGACTGGGAGGCTGAAATGCTTCTAGGTCCCCGTGAATTTTCTCCCACAGCCTCCCGCACTCACACTCCCTAAGCCAGCCTAGCACTCACGCCGTGTGGGGGTACACTTGTCCGATGCGGCTGCAGTCGTAAATGGTGAAGTTGGCCCTGACGATGTTCCGGCCATTGACCTGCACAGACATCTCCACGTTGATGTGGTCTGGAGGGATCAGGAAGAGCCAGGGTGACATAGGGTGAGTGGGGGACTCTCACGGCCCATGCCTGAGACCCTTGTCACGCCAAGGTAGGGGCTCACATCTAGGAGCCTGCTGAGGTTGTGCTGACAGGGCCGGGTGACGGAGCTCACCTTGGTTTGGTGGGAAGGGTGGAAACTGGTCCTTTGGGAGGAGGTTGCAGTAAGCAATCTGCTGGCTGAAGGCAGGCCCCGGCACCCGGGCCACCGTCTGGATGTCATTCCCATAGTCACAGGCCATGTCCATGCCACTGAGACTGGGCAGGCTGCCCGAGAGCTGCAGGATCATGCCCTGGGGGCGACAGGAAGCAGACAGGGCCACTAGCCTCGCAGAGCCCCACCTCCTCAGGCCTGAGCAGCCTGCAGGGGCCAGCCCCGCTCAAGTCTTCCCTGTCCCAGGCTAGGACTCTAGGTAAGAGGGTCACACCTTGTATGTGACCTCTGGATTTCAACTTCCCCATCTACAAAACAGAGCTTGTCCCTTACAACAGCCTAAAAGCTGATAGGGATCTGGCCCCCGGTTGTCAGACACATCTAACATTCTCCCCAGACACTCTGAGCCCACTGCTACCCCAGGGCCTTTGCACTAACACTTCCCAAGGTGTGGAACTCTTGCCAAGATGCTCACCTGGGCCTCCTTCTGTAGCTTCGTTCAGCCACGGCTCTCCCCTGCCCTGTCCCCTCTCTTCTCCCTGTTCTCCACTCTGTCTCCATGTCCTCATTACTATTGAAGCTCCAGCTCCCTCACTCCCTCTGCTCTACAAGCATGTCAGCTCCTCCAGTGTCTGTTCACTGGCTTATCCCTGGAGTCTAGAAATGTGCTTGCAAATCCCCTCTCTATCTCTAATGCCTGCTACAGGTCAGGGGGTACTTCTAGCTGTCCTAGGCAGAGGCAGCAGGAGTAAGAAGCCACTGACCCAAGTCAAAGATTCATCCCTTTATGGGAAATCAGACAGAGACCTGGGATTTCGTGGCCCCTGCATAGCCCTAACCCTCTGCTGAGGACAGAAAGAGGCACTGCTCAGTGCCTCAGCTTCCTCATCTTAATAATTGGGACACTGAAAGTATCAACTTAGTGACGTCTAACAGTCGGATGCCAGGCATGTGCCGGGTGTTAATAAAGCACTTATTTCACTAATGTTATCTGTACCCAGGCCTCTGGGGTTCTGCAGGCTGGGTGTTCACTGTTCTAGGCTTGCTGGGTCTTGGAAGCCCTGCCATGTGGGCACCTGTAAAGGGAGGCCGTCTGACGCTGGTGCTGGTCCCCGAGACTCACCGGGTACTCCTGGTGCACATCGATCTCAGCGGGCAGCACGGTCATGGTGGGGCAGCGGCCGGTGCCCTCGCTGGCACTGGTCCAGAAGTGCTGCAGGCTGGAGTTGGTGCAGTCCTGCTGCAGCGTGCACCTGGGGTGGCCTGGAGGGTCAGGACCAGGGCGCCTCCCCCTGCCGCCCGCAGGCCCCCTGCACACCCCTAGGGAGACCTCACCGAGTCTCCAGCGCACACCAGCCGCAGTAGGCGTCTGCCGTGCCCACGCAGTCCTTGCAGGTGGAGTGCACTTCACACGCTGCTACCTTTACCCGGGCCATCTGGGGGCAAGGCCAGAGCCAGCTCAGGGAAACTAGCACAGCACTATGATAGGCGGGGGGTGGGGTGGGGTGTGGTGGGGGACAGGGAAGACTTCCCTGGAGGTGATGGCTAATCTGGGAGGGAGGTGAGGGGTTTGTCAGAGTTACACAAAAGGGGCCTGGGAGGAAGGGTGGTCCTGGCAAGTGGCAGCATGTGCACAGGCACAGTACCTAGGCTGGGCTATGGCCTTACCTGGTGGGACGTCATCAAATAGAGGTAGCCAGGGTCTGCAGGGTCAAACTGCATGATGTGGTGCACAGGCTCGCCGTAGGCTACTGTCACCACCCGCCGGCTCACCACATGCATGCTCTCATTCAGGTTGATCTGCAGTGGAGGGGTGTCTGTGAGAGGGCCACAGCCACAGAGGGTACCAGGAGCAGGGGGAGGACACGGCCTGTGCATGGCCCCCGAGCGTCCCTGGCCCTTTCAGCCTCTCATGACTGGAGAAACCATGATGGGTAGGAGGGGTCAGGGGGTGCAGTCTCTATACTTTTGCTTCCACTGTGCTCTCCCCAGGAACTCTTATCTTCTGCACAGGTGCTGGGCAACACAGCTAAGAGCAGAGACTTAGGTTCGAATTCTGCTTGGGCATCTACAAGTTGTGTGGCACTGTGCAAGTCACTTCCCCTCTCTGAGCCCCTTTCCTGAGTAAATGTCGCTAACAGGGGCTCATTCCCTGCAGAGTCATGCTGGGGATTAAATAAGAAGACACAAGCAAAGCCCTCATGAGGTTAGCAGCTCATCCACATTATAATTCTCATTGCTTCTATTCCACAGATGAGAAAATGAGGCCCAGAGAGGCTGAGGAATGTGGCAAGGGTTGCACAGTGAAGAAAACAGCATCAGGATTAGAACTCAAGTCTGTCTAAACCCTAAGTCCCAGCCTGAGGTTGGGATGTGGGGCCTGTTAGCCAAGGTCCAGGGAAGAAGACCAAGGTCAGCTGGGGCCTGGGAGCGTCTATGGGTCTGATGGCCTCTCTGCATGTCTTCTGGGACTGTCCACGCCAATCAAAGCCTCGTCAAGTTCCCTTTTTGGGTGGGCTCCCTGATGTGCAACACACCAACTGGTCAAGACCAGCCAGGCTTAGGTGGGAATTCAACATGACACAAATGTGCTGGAAAGTCCCCAGGCCAGTCCAGTCACCCTTCCTGGGATATCCTGTCACATAGCCCACCAAATCCTCGGAGGCTCCTTCCTGAGTATGGAGTAAGTCTCTTCTGGTGTTCCAGGCCCCGGTCACATGATTCTTTTTCATCCCTGAGGCCTGTTCTCCCCCTGATGCCAACCCAGCTCCCCCAGCTCCAGCCTTTGCCATGTGGGACCCTTCCCTTTCCCCTCTCCCTCTGCCAGTGTGCAAATAAGGCTGGTCCTGCTTCTGAGCACGGATCCGCCCAAGGCCTCCTCCAGAAAAGCCTTATGATGCCCTCTGCCACCACGTTGAACCACAAAGGCTGCTTCTGAGCCCAAGATGTCTACCCCAAGTGGCTCTCGTGGAAGTCCCTGTGCTGGGACACCTGACTGAGTTCAGGCTGCTGCAGCCCCCCGCCTCCTGGGCATCCATCAAATCCTCAATCTATTTCCACCTTTTTCCTCAATGCTGAGTGCAAGGCCTGGACTGGACGTTGTCCTGACACCCCAAGAGAGGAGAGTTGTAGGGAACAGCACCATGCAGCACAGGCTGGGAGACGTCCCTGGTGAATTCTGGGTAAGCCTGGGTCAGCTGGCCCTGACCTCAATGCCAGCTCCTGTTGAGTGACTCTGGGGCTCTTATCTCCCTCCCAGACCCTTGATTTCCTCATCTATAAAATGGGACCAGTGACTATGGCTTCTTCAAAGAGTGTGAGGTGCCCCTGAGACACAAGGCAGGGCTGGGGAGACTCCTAGGAACCCAGGGTGGGTCCCCAGTGCCTGCATTTCCAGGCAGACAAGTCATCCTTGTAGATTGACCACAGCAGGAAATAGAGGCTCAGCAGAGAGAAGTGGTCACCTCCGGCCACACAGCAGGGATCTAAGACCAGAAAGGCTAATGGCATTGGCGCCTCTTTCCACATCCGAGGACCTTGGACAGGAGTTCAAGGCTTGGGCAGGCCCACCCTGTACCCACCTGCTGCCGCCAAGCCTGGTAATGCCCCTACACGGGACTCTGGGACTCGGACTCTGACTCCCACCTGCTGCCCATCCATGGCATCTGCCAAGCAGCAGAGGGAACTGGCTTAGCGGATCTGAGTCATCAGGCTGGGGCCTCGTGCCCTGTAGAGCCGTGCCAGGCAGCTGGCTCTCCCCAGCAGGAGTGGGGAGATGACCGGCCTGACACTGGGGATACTGCACTCCACAAATCTCTCCCTGGCTCTGGAAATCTCAGGATACTTCAGGAAAACGAGACACCTTGGTGGGGGTCTTTAGAGGACAACCTGGCAGGGTTGGAGTGAACATCAGGATGAAAGCCTCCACTTCCCCTGCTGAAGCCCCACAACAGTCTTGAGAAGCTTATGACCATTAACAAATGGGGAAACTGAGGCACAGAGCAAGACAGTGCATTTCTCACAGTCACACAGCCAGCGAGTAGCAGAGGTCAGGGGCTTAAACTCAGATCCAACTGACCTCAAACCCCAGAACTAGAGAAACTAGAGAAAGGCCTGGGACCTCGCTCTGTGCAATGCCATGGGCAGTACAGAAAACATAGCTCAGAAATGCTTAAATGGTCAAGTGCTGGCCAGACAGACAGAAGGACAGGATGATGACAGGCCTAGAGAGTCTGTGTACACAGACTGCCTGAGCTGGGTCCTCCTTGCCCCCTACCCCTGGAACCCCCACACTTACCTTGAGGAGACGCCCGCTGACCGTCCCCAGGAAGACCACGGTGTAACTGTTGACATTGGCCACGGCAACAGAGGTGAGGCCAGGTGCGCGGAACACAGGTGTGGCCTTGAGGGGCTGCAGGATCGACAGGGGGTGTTGCAGGTGGGCAGCTCCGCAGTCCAGCTGTTCTGGCTGAAGCTGAAAGGGAAGAGCAGCATATCAGAACCTTCTCAGGATCCTGACCCAGAACCTGACCCTTCACAGCTTGTTCCTGCCTTACAAGAGGTTGAGCGTGACAGGGTCCAGCCCAGCCCTCACTGAAGCCTGATCTAGGCTGGTATCATGAAGCTTCCCTGGGGAGCTGACATTTAAAGGTGCAAAGGAGCTTGCAATGCCATAATTCAGCATTTGACTGCCAAGGGAAAGGCTGGTGGCTTGAACCTATCAGCTGCTCTGTGGAAGAAAAGACCTGGTGACCAGCTCCTGTGAAGACTTCAGTCTGAGAAGCACTATGGGGCACTTGCACTCTGTCTTACACTGTCACCGTAAGTCAGAATTGGCTCCACAGCCCACAGAATCCAACAAAAGCTGAGCAAGAGGCATGAGGTGGCAGGCAGGGCTGCAAAATTACTAGGTCTGGCCAAGAAGGCAACAGGGTCAGGAGACACCCCTAGGTCATTGGAGCTGACCCCTGGCTGGCTGTTCAAAGCCAGGGAGGCCAGAGGAGTTGACACCAGACCCTGAGAGGCCACTTGTCCAACTCAACCCACCTACAGCATGGCAGTCCCCAGCATGCTCTCCTCTGAGGCCCCATGGAAGGGCTCTGCTATGACCCCAGCAGCTGCTCGGACTCCAAGCTAGGACCTGCCCCAGGCTGAAGCGTTCCCTCCTTCCCAAGCACATATCCTCTCACTGGTCCATAATACACATGGGCAAATGAAGGCTGAAAGACAAGGGCTTCCGCAGCCCAGAGCTAATCAGAGAGGAACCAGAGGAAAACCCACTGCTGTTGAGTCAATTTTGACTCTTTGTGACCCCGCAGGAAGGAGCAGAATTGCCCACAGGGTTTCCAAGGCTGTCCATCTTTACAGAAGCGAACAGGCTCGTCTTTCTCAGATGGAGAAGCAGGTAAATTCGAGTCACCAATCTTTTGGTTAACAGCCCGTGTAAAATCCAGTCGGTCCTCTGTATCCACTGGTTCTACATCCATGGATCCAATCAGCCATCCATCAAAAGTAATCGGAGGAAAATAAAAATGGAAGTGGTCAAAGCAACCCCTCCCAGACTAAGTGGACAAGTGTACTGACACAGCATTTGCATGATCTTGTAAGCATTACACTGAATTAATGTAAGACGATGGAAGTCACCCAGAGCAGCTTAGAGCAGCAGGTCATGTGCAAACACAACATCACTTTATACAAGGAACTTGCGTGAACTCAGTTTTCTGTATGAGGGGGCAGAGGGGGTGGTCCCATGACCAATTCCATGTGGATAATGCGGGACAATTGTAGAGAAAAGTAGCCCTGGAGTAAGTGCCTTTGAGGTCACAGGTGCAGAGAGAGTGACCCAGGGATGTCACAGGAAGCACACACCGCCCACAGTACAGCTCCCAGGAGGGCACACTCACCCCTAGTGACACGCTCCACCTGTACCAACTGAGACGTAAGGAGTCTGCAGCCTGGGTGAGACTGCAGGATGTGGTGGGGCCGTTCAGGAAATCGGTACACACACATTAAAGTGATAGGGCAGCAAGCATAGAGGATGGCATGCCACGTTCCTCCAGACTGACGAAGCTGGGGAGGCGCTGTGATCCCCAAGGCTTGCTGGTGGTTCCTTCTCACAGGTGAGGAAAGGAAAGATCAGCATAGGATGAGCTGCTCAAGATTAGCCCACTGCAGTCACGCCGGGGGACTAACTAGGTCGCCAGCCCCGAGCCCCAAGCCCACCTCTCCCAGCTCCCTAGATACCTGATCTGGGCATCGGCTGCCCTTCCAGAAACCCAGGGGAACCCTCAGAATGGGGCATTGGGATTTTTTTCATATTGGTTTCTTGTCCAGGCCTAAGTTTAACCACTGACAATGTACCTGAGTGGTATTTGCACAAAAGCCGAGCCAGTATTGAGCAGGAAATAACCAACACCAGATCTGTCTGCTTTGGCACTTTTTCAACACCTTTGAGGTCCGACAGAACTCTTAGCTGGGGTTGGCTTCCTAATGGGCATTTCAGGGGCGCCAGGTCCCAAATCCAGAGAGGGGTCAGGCTGGGGGTGCCCTGGGATAAACCCCTGAGGGAGTGGTCTTCAGCAGGACAGCTGAACTGAGTGAAACCTTAAGCAACTATACAATGGGTGCGTGCAGAATGCCTCCTGCACAGGTGCTGCAGCTCTGGGGATCGACTCTGTTCAAGGTATAACTGTTTTTAATATCACAAAGTGGAATTTAGGGTAAATCACGCCTACCTCAAAAGCATCTGAGCTCAACTAATTCTGACCCCAAAAGACACCCATCTCTTCCCTCAGACAGCCTGTCTGGCCCTACCTGTTCTGTGGGTCCACTCCCGCCCCAGCGCTGCTACTGAACGCGGCAGACACAGAGCAGTGTGCTCCTTAAAAATGCAGAGTAGGACCCTTCCTTCTTAAGCCCTTTAATGCCTTCCACATTCAGTACAGATCACAGTGACTCCGGACAATAGCTCTGAACCCTGTTCTGTCCAGTGTCACCCTCATCATCTCCGATATACTCGATCCCATTGCTTCAGCCACTGTGTCAGTTCCATCTCATTGCAGGTCTTCCTCTCTTTCGCTGACCCTCCACTTTCTCAAGCATGGTGTCCTTTTCTAGGGAATAGCCCCTCCTAACAATATGCCCAAAGTATGTGAGTGAGACAAAGCTTCACCATCTTTGCCTCTGGCTGCCCTCTCTAAGAGACATAGCTCTTTGTTCTTTTGGCAGTCCAGGGAATGCTCAGCACTGTTCTCCAACACCACAACCCAAAGGCATGGAAATCCTAAACCCTTCCCTCTGGACCACACCCCCAAGCTCCCCTTTTCCCACCCCTCCTCAGCTCAGCACATTGGCCTGCTCTCTGCTGCTTGCATTTAAGCTGCGTCCTGCCCCAGGGCCTCTGGCCGTCCTGTGCCCTCAGCCTGGAATGTCATTTCCCAGATGGTGATAGAGTTGCTGCTTCTTGTTCTTCAGCTGCAGGCCTGGGTTCATCCTGTGTGCACTAAGTTGGGGTGCAGCCCTGAAAAAGTGGCCCCTAAACTCTCGCTCCCATTGCCTCTCCTAAGCAGCAGCAAGAAGGCTGTAAGGCACCCTCCTCTAGTGGGTGGGTGGGTGGGGGTGCTCGCCTGAGGCTGCTGCGAGAGAAGCAATAGCGGCTTTCTCCCAGGGTTACATAACTTTTCTTTGCTGAATATGGATTACTTGCGTCATCAAGAAGTTGTTTTGAAATTAAATTTGTTAACCCTACCCTGAACGCTTGGTACAGCCATTCCCTGAAAAGAGTGTCTGGGAGGAGGGGAAAGCCTGGATGACACCTTTAGGATGCTCTGCCTTGGCTCCTATGATGGGGGGCCAGCCAGTCAGGGGACTCCTAGGAAAAGCCTACCTGGACAGTGATTGTAAGGTGGGAGGAGGGGGTGGGTGGAGGACAAAGAGTGGGAGAATGAAGGGGGGAAGTGGGGGGCTGGTGGGTGAGGGAGCTAGGGTCGGAGTATGGAAGGGTGAGGGGGATGGCGATGGGTGGGGGAACAGGGTGGGAAGATAGGAGGGGAGTGGGCAGGGGGAGGGGAAGATTGCTCACGCACTCAGAACCCATCCTCCACCCATCCTGACATTCATAAACTATCAATTCTGCACCAAAAGAATATTCTAAAAAGGCTTTCCCCCAACTCTTTTTTTTCCCTTAACCTAAAAATAAAATTTTAAAGGAGAAGTAAGCTGTCACTACTCCAAATGATCTGTACTCTAGGGGGAACTGCTGGGGGAAGTACTGTTAGACTGACTCTGATGTCCTGGTGGGTAAGGAGCGGGGCTACCCAACCCAAAGGCAGGAAGTTTGATTCCACCAGCTGTTCCAAGGGAGAAAGCTGGACAGTCTCCATCTGTGCTATGAATAGTTTTTGAAAACTCTCTGGAGGGTCAGCTATGAATCAGTTCTGACTGGACAGGACCCACATCCACCAGGCAGTCAGGAAATGTCACGGTGTTGGGGGAGGGGTTACGGCTGGGAATGTGGGACTGTCGGCTCCCAGGCCAGGCAGCAGTCCTGTGGCCTCAGCTGAACTCAGTCTCTGGGGGCTGTCAGTGCTACAGGCCCCAAATACCAGCCGGCCTCATCACGCTGGCCCCTGTCAATCTCAGCGAGCAGAGATCTTCCAAACAGAAACTCCCTGAGCGCAGGGACTGATGGACTGTCACAGGGGCTCCCTCTGCCCCCTCTTGCCCCTCCAATCCACAGAAGTCACTTTCCTTTGCTCAAAGCTGGTCAGTCCCTCCTCAGAATAAAGCCCCAGCTCTTCAGCTGACCACTGAGCCTTCCTCACCTGGATGTTGCCAGCTGCTCAGGACTTGAATCTTGGCTTTTTTTCCACCCCACCCTCTGTTCCAACCAGCAGCATCACTGCGTTTGGTGTCGCCCAATGCAGTAACTGCATAAGCTAAAAAAGGTGTCATCCACTGCAGACCGCTTCCATATCAGGCCACACTGAATCCTTAATAGTGTTGTCTATTTTAGTTACAGAATAATAGGCAATAAAGATGATGTTGTTGTTGCGTTCCATTGAGTCATCTGTGACTCACAGCGACCCTATGTACAATAGCCCTAAACCCTGCTCTATCCTGTGCCAATTGTATTGTCTCTGACACACCTACTCCCATCACCCCAGTCACTGAATCAATCAATCAATCTCATAGAGGGTCTTCCTTCCTGTACTGTCCCTCCACCCTCCCAAGCATGACATCCCTATCCAAGGACTGGTCCCTCCTTGCAACATGTCCAAAGTGTGTCAGATGAAGCTTCAGAATCTTTGCCTCCAAGAAGCAGCCTGGTCTCACCCTCTCTAGGATGAACCTGTTTGTTCTAGCAGTCCATGGTATAGTCAATGCTCTTCTCCAGCACCACAGCTCAAAGGCATCAATTCTCCTTCTATCCTCCCTAGACACTGTCCAGCTTTCTGACACATAGCAAGTAACTGC